CTTCGCGCTGTCGTGCCACAGGTCCCTGGTTCGATCCTCGGGCAGGGCAAGGTTTACTCAGCCTTTCATCCCTTCAGTGGGTCGATAAATGAGTACCAAGCATGCTTGGGAACTAAACACTGGGGGTTCCGCGTTCGGCTGACCACCTAACTGGAGCATCTGCTCCTGCACCCCAGAGCCCAAGATCAAGAAAACTGAGATGGGCACAGTAGGCCTTGGCCCTCATGGGCTGTCGTGCCGCTGAGTTTAGTTTAATATATCAAATTGTGACCATGATTATTTTGCCCTTTTTCTTCACTAAATATAGAAATTTTAAAAAATGTATTTGGGATGGTCATTATAATGGAATTGAATACTAAATAACTATTTCAAGAGAAAACATTTTTATTCGTGAACAATGCATAAATCAAAAACAACTTTTAAACTCTTAATACAATATTCCAAGTTTTTTCATTTCTCTAAATGTTTGCTGAACTTTAAAATGAATACTATTCCCCTGCAAGTAATAGGTAAATAGAATATTTTGAAGCTACACAATTTAACAAGTTGAACTTTTTTAAAAAGATGCGTACAAAATTATTAGATGAAATAAAAAACAAACTAAGTTTTTGAAAGACATAAGTTTTTTAGTTATTATTCTCTCGTGATCACTATTTCATAATAAATGATAATTTATCAAATGTGTTCTTAACATGCTAGTTAAAACTTAGTTAGTTTGCTACAAAATTAATTTAAAGGGTAAAATCTCAAAATATATACGTTCTTATTGTTACTTTTTTTTACAAAACATGCACAAAGGGAAAGAGACATGGTTTAAAAAGAAGGCATATGCAGATTATAAATTTCATCTAACCACACATTTTAGAGTTATTTATTATTTAAAAAATTTATTTACCGTAAAGTCGTTAACGTTATGTTATATAAGGAATTTTTAGAGAAAAACAAAAAAAACTCACTTACTTTTTACGACGCTTATAAATATTCTTAGCTGGAAAACACAAAGCTCTAGTCTAAATAGATTGAAAAAAGATTACTTAAACTTAAAAAAGTGTCCTAATTGTTTTAACTTTACTGGAATATTTCAACTGTGTAATTGTTTACGTTACATTAAAATTGCATTAGTGTTTATAAAAAATAATATGTAAATAAATCAACTATTTAAGAAAATAATACAAATTTGCTGTATTATGATAAATACTATACAAAAAATGATTTTTCAAAAAATAGCTACTAAGTTTTGTATAAAATACTCCATCATAAAAAAAAATTACAATAATCCGTAAAAACAGCATACCTTAATTGATATAGGGGGGAGTCGGGCAGCCCCGCCCACTTAAAGAGTATTCCTTATATTTCTGTATAATATTGAGTAATAATCAATATTTTTGTATTTTTCTATTGTTTTATCATCTAATTAAATAATGTTAAAAGAATAAACCAAAAAAAAGAATAGTTTAACTTAAAAAAATAGAAACTTCAAAAATTTGACTACTGTATTCAACATATTTTCAAAACTATTGTTTACCATGTTACCAGATGCATAGAAACTCTGAAAATAATCTTTTTTTAATATAACAATTAATGTCCGATGGCCCATCGACTTGAAGAAATATTTTATACATATGAAATTGACAGTGGGCGGGAATACCCGCTGGGCAGGAGTACCCGACACTCCCCTACTTATTTTAAAAATTTTCAAGTCCAGTTATTTTAATGCAGCTTTCCTCACTAGTGATTTTAGATTCGATAGTATTTCTTTTTCTTATTTAACTAATAATTTGCGATTCCTAATATGTGTTTTTTGTTTACTTTAATTTTAACACGTGTTCTCTAAAACTATGCAAACTATGTTAAAGTAGTAATTGTGGTAGTCCTTGTAGTGTAGTATATAATGAATACTAGAATGCACTTTATAATAAGTTAAATTATAAATTCAAAGATGACTTTTATGATATATCCTGGTAAAGTATTTCTGGTATTCTGATATGATATACTAAAGTCCTCAGAGAACATTACCCATTCTAGCTTTAAAATTACATAAATGTTATCTAAAGGAACGAGATCTTTAATTCAAAGAATGAGCAGATGCTGGAATGATTATAAGGGAACTAATTAATCAAATGGTGAGGAGCTTTGAGTGAAAGTTAAATATACTGATGAGATTTGGATTAACTACTAACCATTATGTAGATTACACCGTTTCCATTAGACAACTATTCAGACCATAATGTCTAAAATTATATTGTTATAATTTGGTAAATGTATATAACAGTAATGTATTTGATATTAAACTAAATATACATCAGTATAATAGAAAATTGTTCTGGCGTTGAAGAATTAAATCTAACTTTTGAAAAACGTTGTGAAATGTGGTTTGCTAGAGCAAATTTTATAAGTTATTCTATGCGCAGAAAATTTGCGAGAAAACTACATCGATTTTCAATTTTAAAATTGCAGTTAAAACTAAAAAAATAATTAGGTTTTCATGTCCATATTGTTAAAAGTACTTACAATTCAATGAATCAAAAACCATTTACTGTAAAAACCACTGTAAAAAAAGAGTACCGGCCCTTAGATTGCCAGTACAATTCAATTCAGTATCAATGTTTTATGTAAAATTTTACGGATCAAAAAAATCTGATATACTATAATTGTTAATGTAATATTTACTGTAAAATCTCTGAATAATTATAATTGAATTAATATTGCTGTAAAAATATGGTATAAAATTTGACAGCTTTAAAAGCTTTTAAGGTAAAATGGATTTTACAGACGTTTCAATCAGTGTGCCAGTATTTTTCATCGTAATTTCATTTCGTATTTTTTAAAGTATTTATCCATTATATAAATGTCATACGTTGTCATAAATTATTTTTTACAAAAAATAAGTATTTTTGAATTAAGCGTTTACGGAAGTGACGCTTAGGTGTATACATAACTGATCTCACTAAAAATATAAAATATGGCATAAGAAACAAAGCATATAACATATAAACAGTGATATTATTTGAAGATTTATTATTTTAATCAAACTTTAAGCAAGAATGTGTAGAATTTTTCTTCAATAAATCAATATTGAGCTATATATTTAGTAGTAATCCATTGTATATTTCAAATGTTTTAAAGATTTTAGAGAAAAATTATGCTGTTGTTGTCAGTCTGCTTGAAATAAAGCGAATTTTTAAGGAAAAAAGTACATTTCGTGTTTTTTTCAGTGGCGTCATCTATGGCCAAGAATACAAATTCAGCAACACACACATCACAGCCTGTTTTACAGTTAAGACCCATTCATACTCCATTCATTCATCCACAGATCGTAATTTTGACTTGAACCAGAGAACGATCTATCTCCAGTTCTCCAATTCAGTAACCGTAGAGGTATGGATTTGTGATGGGAACTTGGAGGACTTTGTAATCTCTAAGATTTAACAGCAACCTCCATTTAATTCATGGGGATCCTTCCATCAACGGGATTCGAACTCAGGTTCTGACGAAGTCGAGCCCGACCTTCTATTAACCACACTATCTCGGCCTCAAACTACATATAACCACATTTGAAAAGAACATCTGGAAGCGAAATTGCCTTTCTTATAAATTACAGTTTGTAATAGCTGTTAGCGCGACATGAAAAACTATTTTTATATTATAATATTTTGACATATTTTGATCTGCTCGTGAAGAAAAAAAATTAAAGTTTACTTTAGATTTATAAATTTAGAGTCTTGCTTACCAAAAATAAAATTAAAACTTTAATAAAGGCTGATGTTAGAAAAATAATAATGATAATACTAATAAAATTGCTAAGTACCCTGTCGGATTTCTTAACATTATAAATCTAATTGTATTGGAAATATATATATGGAAAGCGAAAAGAAACAGAAATAATCCTCATTTCTTCTTGACTTTTTACTAGCTAACAAATTGCGTTTTTTGTCACTTGTTCGAAGAATTGCGTTTCGAAAAATAACTCTTAAGGTGTTTTGTCAAGAAAAAAGTTTAATTAAATAAAGATTAAAAGGTTGTCAATTAAGGCTAAATAGCTACCTAACTATAAGTCTTGAATCCGTGCACAAGCATTTTTAAGTCTTTCGCTTCAAGGAACAAGCTTCTTAATTATTTTCTCACTCTTATTTTGTCGTTAACACTCTAGCCAAAAATGATTCATCATGGTCTAATAAACATTCTAATTAAGAATTCTCAACATAATACTTGCATTCTTTAAGTATTTTTCCTTACAATTGATACAGTCTTTGTATAAAAATTGTTACTTAAATTCCTTTTATTTCAATTAACTAATTAATAAAAAAATGCAAATAACTAATGAAAAAAAATAAAAAATGTGCTTTCAAATATTTATTTATTTCACACTTTTAATATACAGAGCGCAAAATAGAAAAACGGACTACCTGCCCTGACTAACTTTTGATCTAATGATAGGCTCTTTTCATTTTAGGACTCAATCTTAATAGTTAGGGAGTGACCTCAAATATTCTAGTTGATTATGCAGGCGATATTTCAAGTTACGAAATCAGACACAAAAACGTAATTTCTCTGACTAAACATGCCTTTTTCAAAGGATTCGGATTTCTAACCTCCAAAATGCAAGGGGTAGCCGCAATTTGAGAAATATGGTCCCTTAGTTTATGTTCGCATATATGTTACCACGGGAATAGTCAGGAGAGCGATCCAAAGTGTGGACCCCATAATATTAATTTTTGCTAGAGCTCGAGAACTTTTTAAGCGAATTGAAAACTTTGTGTACGCAATTATGAAATTTGTTTCTCCTAATATTTGCTCAGCCATGTAAAAAATAAGTTTTAGTATATATATATAATTTTTATTTTATTTAATAATGGTCACAAAAAGGTAAGGTAAGGAATAATTTTAAAGAATATAATTTTGCATGACAAAATACATAATTTGAGCGATGTCGATTGAATAGTTCTTGTGAAAATGAAAGTGTGAAATGATTAACCACACACAAAAAAAAGAGTCAATGATTATTTTAAAATTATTTATTTTCTGTAATTTAAGTTCATCAACAGCATTCATTTAACTTCTTCTTCTTCCTTCTAGTGCGTTTCAATAAGCATTACTCATTATTAGGATAACAGGCTCCATGGAAACAAACCTAAAATAAATTAAATTTTTTAAAAATTATTTTATAAAGAAATTGTCGTAAAAAATGCAGCTTAAAAAAAATAGGACTACTAGCATTTAATTTAAGCCGATGTAGAAAAAAAATTCAAACGAGGATGGTGTGTAGATGTTTCATGCCACGTATGAATAAAACAAACCACCGTGAACAAAGCACGAATAACGGTACAGAAATTGACATACTATAGTTTCGGTTCCATAAACAAAAGCTCTATTCGATGTATTTTTCTTACTGAAACGTATTTGTCTCGTTACTTTCCTACTGTCCTTTTGGGTGAAACATCATTTAAGGAGAAAAAAAATTCTGGTAAAATTACCGACTGTTTGGTAATGGCATTCCTAAAAAAATTAACCGAAATTCTGGTTAAGAAAACCAAAAGATATGGTACATAAACCATTCATTTGCTAATTTTCTGGTTCATATGTTAACGGTTTACCAGAAATCCTATTCTTCAAAGTTATAGTTCTTATAGCCACGCATTTAGTAAAAAATACGAAGTTGGAAAGTAAATTTAACCAAATAATTTTTATGTCTTGCTCTAGGGTATCATGATAAAATTAACGAACTATCTCCCATTTACCAACTTTATCACTTATTATAAAAACGTATTTCGTTGTTAATTTTACCAAATTCGAATGATTTCGGTAAAATCATTCAAACCAAAGCACTTCAGTTAGTATTATTGAGCTTTTGGGCATTCCCATAGAGCCAGAAACACGGTAAAATTTATCATATCCTGGTAGTTTTGACTATACTTTTTTTCTCAATGTAGAACCAAATCTACAATATGTCTATTTCAGTTCTTTTATTTGCGCTTTATTTACCTTGTTTTGATTTATTCATGCAAGAAAACTGTTTAAATAATATAATTCTGTACATGTTTAAACAAATAATTAACAAAAATTCTCTAATTTAATTTTTAGTATTGAATATGAAAGACTTAAAGTGACCCTATAAGAAAAGTATTAAATACATAATATAAGCATAAGTTACTTCTTGTTTACCACAAAATAACCACAAAATTCAATAACAAAATAACTTCGCTTTCTTGTTATCCGTCTCATTATAATAGACGCATCGTAATAACCCAATTATTCCTAACTTATTTATCCATGTTTTAGAAGTTTCGGAAAAATGTTTCATTTTGTCAAAATTAATATCTTCTATCTGTAATTTAATATGCAATGTATCGTGAATTTCACTTTTACAATCAAAAATTAATTATACAAACTTACATAATTGCTATTCCAAAAAAAATTAACATATCATGTTTTAATTATTCAAAACTACCAAAAGGAATCAGGTATCTATAATTTTTAAATGATGTTGAGTTTATTTTAAATTTATTAGAATGATTACTCTTTAAAAGAGAGATAATGTCTGTTATTCACAATAAAATTAATTTTTACCCTAAAATCCATTTTTACCAGAAGAAGTCACGGAAAGAAATCTAATAAATCGTTATTTTACAATAATAATTACCATAAAATCACTCTTATTAAATAAATATTGTTCTAAAAATTAGAGTATAATATTTTACGGTAAGAATGGATTTTACCGAAGAATGGATTTCACGGATATCGGATCCTTAGTGCCAATACTTGGTATCATAATTTAATCCGGAATTATTTATAGTGTGAGATTGTAATTTTGTGTAAGCGGTGTTTTTAATTATTATATTTCTGAGAGAAGTTAAAATACTCATTATATTGTAGTACTTAGCATTTCAGTTTCCTTATAACGAATAAATATTTTATTAAATTATATATAATGCATTTTTTTTTCTATTTTTTGCCATTTTTACCTAAAACAAGCTTATACACTAATTTTTTTTTTTGCTAGAAAACTAATCCAATTAATTTTTGACGACCTCATATAAAGTAAATATTTTACTGTCTAAAACAAGACAAGTTTTGTAAAGACTATACTGGAAAAGATTTGGAGAATATGTTGGTTGGCCACTGAGAAAAAAGTATGGTCAAAGCTACTAGAATATAGTGAAATTTATAGTGTTCTGGCTTAACACCAAGAAACTTGATAACGTTTTCAAAAGAACTTTGGTAATGATTTTAGTAAAATTAACAGTAAAAAAACGTTTAATAATATAAGCTAAAATTTGATAAATGTGGTAATATTTTTTTTAATTTTGTCATGATAACTTAGAGTTTGACATAAAAACCATTTATTCGGTTAAATTTACTTTTGTATTTTTTACAAAATTTGCGGTGATAAGGAATATAATTTTAAAAACCAGAATTTCCGGTAGACTGTTACTGTTTGAACGGAAAGATTACCAAATGAATTATTTAATTACTTTGAACCATGGTGGCGCAGGTGATAGAGCGTTCGCCTTCCAATGAGATGCACCGGGTTCGAATCGCAGCGATGGCTGGTCTATACGAATTCCGCATTTGGCTTGCACCGACCACAGTGATGACGTAAAATCTCATCAGTGGTCGACGGATCATGGACTGGAGTCCACTTGCCGTCAGGCTAACCATGGGAGATTTTCCTGGTTTTCCTCTCCATGTAACGCAAATGCGGGTTAGTTCCATCAAAAAGTCCTCCTCGGAGGCAAATTTTTCCCAATATTTGATCCAGGAGTTCCTTTGTCTTCTGGATTAGATTCAAAATTACAAGGCTACGGCGTTGAATAGTCGTAAACTCAAAAATTGGGTTGGCTGCTCAATGACGGTTATAATATAAAACGAAATATTGTATATTTTGGATTTATTAACCATAACTATGGGAATTTTTTTGACCACAAATGTCATTGCCATACAGTACAATAATTTTTTAGAAATTTTTTCAGCGTGTGGTAATACATTTCATCTAAGCTCTAACCAAAGCTGTAAAATGCTAACTCCGTTGTTGAGAGAAAAAATAAAATCGTTCCAATAACAGTTGTAAGCTGATCCAGTAATTCACCAAATTTTTTGTTTCATATAAAATTCCTAAACACAAAGCTTCTTTTGCATTATTCTTAGAAACAACACATTTATTAAATTAGATTTAAAGAAATAGCTCACAAATATCACCTCAGAACTATCGGCAATGCAGTTAGTTATCAGCAAACAGTTTGCGATATTCATTGCCCAAAACATTTTTGAATAATTTATTTTCAGACATTAAACTTTTGATGCACATTTTTTGACATGGTTATTCTAAAGATTGACTCTAATGATACAAAAAAATAAAAGAAAAAACAGAACACGAAACGACGAAAGTTTAACTAATTTGCATAAAATTTGCATAAAAGCTTTTATCTAACATACAATTTGAAATTCTAAGTGATATTTAAAAAGCTTTCTCCGGGTCATTAATTTTTATAAAAATGCACCAAAAATAGAAATGAATTTACTGAAATGTTTTCTCAGTTATAAAATAGAAAATATTCAGTGATTAAAAATTAGTGCCAAAATATTTTAAATAAATGAAACATTGCTTAATATATATTTTTGTGATGAAAGTTGAACTTTTTTGTTAATTTCAGAATGCAAAGTAGTTAAAATTACGATTTAAATTGCTATCGTTATTTTTCGGCATTTTTTGTCTTCAAATTATTTATTTAATATTCAAAACTGTTACTTTATGTTTAAAATCCTTTCCACTCAGCAGTTTTCAATATTTTTCCTTTTTGAGAAAAAATAACATAAGTACAGATAAACATTCCTAGACAAATGCTATCTGAAATGCAACAACAAAAATAACACTATCGAATTGTATAGCTTGGTTAGAATTAAACGATGATATTTATTTATAATATTAGACTACTTGTGATAGTCTAACTTTTTAAATTATCAAATAATATTTTTGGAATTTAAAGATACATTATATAAATCAACAAGTCGAAATAGAATTGATATTATTGCATCCAATTGACTATGCAAATGTTCTATAAAAAGCAAAAAGTATAAAATCTCAGAGTCACACTATTAAATTGTGAAGTTTGTTTAGAATTAAAAGATAATATTTATTTCTAATATTAGACTACTTGTAAAAGTCTAACTTTTTTAATAATTAAATAATGCTTCTTGGTATTTANTCTAACCCAAGATCCGTCTACCACTGAGAATATTTTACGTCATCAACAAGCAGAATAAAATTGAAATTACTGTATCCAATTATTAACTATTCTTTTACTAGACGCTAAAGAAGGGTTTGCAATTACCACCATTAATATAAATGTTTTATATTTTATTTTATAATTGGCCTTCAACAGCCAAATCGAAACTGAGTTTATGACTATCAATGTTCAACTTTGTAGCTTTCTATTTTCGAACCCAACCTAGAGGAAAAAGAGAATTCGTGGATCAAGAATTGGAACAAACTAACCTTCGTTAAAGAATTTTTGATGGAACTAATCCACATTTGCGCTACATAGAGAGGAAAACAACGATTTCCGCTCACGGTTAGCCCGATGATAATGGGATTCTAACCCATGATCCTTCTACGTTTTAACTTCAGCATAGTGATCGGTGCAAGCCAGTGACCACTTGGCGAACCAACCGGTCGCATCAACCAGCCACCACTGGGATTCGAACCAAGAGTCAACTCATTAGGAGTCGAACGACTGAGCCACCGTGGCTCTTATATCGATACTATTTTTTAAAAAATGAAAACAAAAATAAAATAATAAAATAAGATAATTTCAAAAACCATTTTTTTTTTAAATTTTATTTCGTAAAAATATTTCGGCCAATTCCGACCAAAATTTCGAAATAATATAATATTCATATTCCGTACTTAAAATAATATTAAAAAAAAAATAAGTGCTAAAATTATTCTTTATATAGAATTATATTTGGATAAAAGAATTTTATATAAATGTGTGCAAAAAGTCTCCGATTCACTTAAATTTTCGAGAAAATTGAACTTAAACTTGCAACTATTCTTCGAACTAAATTATTGAGAACATGTTTTCTAGATCACGGGTATCACTTACAAGTTGGTGTTCGAAAAAAAAAGGAATTAAAAAAAAAGGCATGAAATAAAGCATAATTTTATGTTTGAATCAATAACCTAATTAATAACCAGCACTATTTAGTTAGTATATTTGAATTCCCCCTTTTTATTCACTGAAATCAGCTCTTAGTTTTAAAAAGTCGAATCTTTGTCCATTAAAATAATATGATCGAGGGAAAATATCATCTAAACAAAAGTTATTTAAGATGTTATTTCCCCTCTTTCCTGAACATTAATAGAAGTCTCAAATCAGCACATAAATTTTAAGAAAATTAAAATGTTTCCAATCTCTTACCAAATACTGAAGTTATTAAGAGCAAAGGGAGAATAACAAGTATACAAAAGATAATTTTATTAATAATGAATCTAAAATTGGCCCTCAGTCTCAGACAAATAAACTGGTTTTTAAGCATTTTATCCAGCGTGGGCAAAAATTCACTTTGATTAGTCAAAGGATCGATTTTAGCTGTTTTGAGCCTTAAATATTTATTTTCGTTCACTGACAAACCAAACTTTTAGCCATGATCTCAAAGGATTCTGAGAATATGCATGTTAAGGGCGGTACTTAGGGAACACATTATGTTCGTTAATTTTTCTTAATATATACTTACTCCATCATTATTACCAACGATTGATTTACAAGGCTGTGAATCTAAAAATGTTCCAGAGAAAACTTCAAATTCGGCCTTAATTCTACAAGTATACCAGCAGCCTCTCTGAAAAAAAGAGCGTAGAAATTATTTTTCAAATTTGAAAACAGGTAATTTTGTTAATTAATAAATAATCCATTGATTTTTTAGTTCTGATTATATTAAAAAGTTTAAAAAAAATAATAACAAAGCTAAGATTTATTAAAAGTATTATTTATAATATTTACGCTGAGTTTTTTTTTTTTCATGTTAGCAAAAAATATATTATCTCGCCCTGAGCGATGCGAATTAAAAATAATGCTTATCTCTTACGTTATATTACTACAATGTTGTCTTTTTAGAACATCTCTTTTTCTTAGAAAATAAAACTTGTAATAGTTAATATTTAGCGTTATTTTACCCAGTATAAATAACAGTTATTTAGCTAGTTAATAAATAAATATCAATTCACCATTTGTAAAAAATTCGTGTTCGGAGAATTGAAATTTTGTATTTTAATAATTAAAAACAACTTTTAGAGTATGGAATTTAAAGCTAATTTCTTTATTTGATTATTTCAATTATGAGCTACATTTTTACAATAATATGTCCTCTAAAATAAAAGATTATTGTTTCGTTTGAAATTAACTATGCGTAATAACTATTCTAAACTGCCTTTAAGCTATTTAAAATGTTAGCTTCTTTATACCAAGAACACGCGGTTCGAGTTAACAATGCCCTGAGAGAGAGAAAAAATTTTACATTGTACATAATTCTATTATAATTTACTTCTCTAATTAGATATTTTGAGAAGAAATGTTTCAACCTTAATAATTGCATTATATGCACCAAATTTCTACTTAAAAGAAGAAACGTTGCAGTGTAATTCAATGCAAAAATTGGCAATACGGACAATAATATAGTTCATTCTGACACTTTCTTTAGGTTGCAGGAAATTCGCAGAGTAACTTGGTTAAGATAAACACTTTTCAGAACAATTTCACGGTTTAATTTGACACTTTACTAAGGATGAGGCAAGTTTACTTGGTAATGTTTAACCCTTTATTGAGGTTAATGAAAAATTGCACGATTATATGGTTTTTGGTTCCTTACTAAGTTTTGAAATATTAACTTTCTATGTCAAGCCAATTGAGTGATATTTTGTTAAGACATAATGTTGTTTGGTTTTTGATGAATCACCTTTTTATGTTTCCGTTTAATTACTCACTTGGTTTTATTTTATTTTACAATAGTCGTTGAATAAACGACTCAGTGTTTGAGTTTACGACTACCAATGTTCAACACCGTAGCCTTGAAATTTTGAACCCAACTCAGAAGACAGGGAAACTCCTGGATCAAGTATAGGGTGAAATTCGCCTTCGTGGAGGGCTTTTTAATTGAACTAAGCAGCATTTCCGCTTGATGGAGAAAACAAAACACGAAAACCTCTCACGGTTATGCAAAGGGACTCTAACCCATGATCCGTCTACCACTGAGAATATTTTACGTCAGCACTGTCATCGTGGCGAGCTGAGTAAAGAATTCATAACGGCCAGTCATCGCTGGGATTAAAACCCTGGGCACCTTATTGGAAGACGAACGCTCTATTCCCTGAGCCACCACTAGTCAACTCACTTAGTTTAAAGCTAATTTACATGATAAAATTAGTTAATTTGATAATTTATGAAGATTGAATCAAACATGTATTTAAAACATCTTCAGACCGACGCCTTGCGAAAGTTGCTTCAAATTGGCACGGTATTATATTTAAAAGTGACCCAAATGATTTAAGGAGTGTTTTTGGCGTTCCCACATCAATTTTTTTAACTGAAAATAATTTGAAAGATATTATTTTAGCTCAAAAAATTAAACTCTTATAAATTTTTATTTACAAATTACAAAAAAAAAAANAAAAAAAAAAAAAAAAAAAAAAAAAAAAAAAAAAAAAAAAATCAGAAATATTTAAATAGAAATTAGAAAGCATTGCATTAAGAATTGTAATTTTGGAGTTGTATTCCCCAATGTACAAAGATTCAGTTTTAGTTTCTTGAGTGTCCTTAATTTCAACTTTTTTTTTTCATTTAAACTGTAACTGCTGCGTTCACATGCTATCACTGTAACAGTTATATAAACTTTTCATAAAATGAGAAAAAGTTATATTTAGTTTCTTAATTTCTCTAGATAGTTCTTAAACCGACTTTTTTTTTAGAAAAAGAAACATTTAGAAACAGAATTTGCATAACAGAATTTGCATTTGCAGTTTGAGGCAATATAGTGATAAACCACACTTAGTTCAGATGTGAAATGTGGCAGTTTTATATCGAAATGTTTCTTAGTATTGTTACTTGATAAGTATTTTGCAAGTTACCAGAATTTCCACTAGATGGCAGCACGATAGAAGTTTTTTCCAAAATGCACTCCTGAACAGTTTGAAATGTGTAGCTTATCATTATGCCCAAGTTCTTCATATTATCTTCAAATATAGACGGTTAAAACTTTTAGAGCTCTTTTTTGTAATTTTACGAAAATTATTATTCTCAAAAGCGTTTATTTAGAGTTCAGGCATGCATAAAATCATTTAAATCCATACAAAAATAAAAAATTTTATCAAAATAGTTACCATACAAAACTCTTTTCCCAAAATTAGGAAAACTGTTCAATGATAAATTATTAATCTCTTATGCAAAATCCATCATCGTTCTTATCATCATCATTAATCAACCTTTCGTGTGACAGGAGTTAATTTATACCAAAAAATATTCAAATACGAATGGTGCTAGTTTTAGCACAAATAAAATAACTCTCTATTGTTAGTATTTTTAAATCTGATTTCTCTTGAGATAAATGAAAACATTTATCAGATATTTTGACACCTCATTCTTTAATAAATATTCATTGCCAAACTAGTAGTGAACATCTGCGAAGATAACAAAAATAAGTAATAATCTAAACCATAGTAATTTTTTTTTATTATATTTGGGTATAACAAAAAAAATATATCTTTTACTTTTTGATTAAAAAAAATACTCTCTACGACTATTAAAAATACATTAGTTCGATATTTCAGAAGAAAAGGAACATTTTTTGTTTTAATTATATATAATCCATTATCAATCCTCATGTTTTAAAACTGTATTTTGTCCTTTTTTTTTTCCTTTAAAAAAAAGGGAAGCAATACGGAAATCGAGCACTCAGTGACATGCCATATCTCATATCGATGGTTGACTATAAAAATATTGTACTAGAATTTATTATTATATTAGAAAATTATATTAGAAATTATATTAGAATTATAGCAAAATTATATTAGAATTATATTAGAAAATTATTATATTAGAAAATTAATACATTCGAAAAATAATATGTTCGAAAATTAATATGTTAGAAAATTATTATATTAGAAACTAAAGTAAATGACGAAGAGAGTTAAACATTCTATAATGATATACAGGATACTAAAGATTGTATTAACCCAAAAGACATATTGATGGTCATTGGTAACCTGAATGCTAAAGTTGGATCAGAGAACTACAGAGTTGAATGTACAATGGGACGTAGACTTGAAAGGAGGAAAGAAAATATGAAGCTTTTTATCGTTTTTTGTATCACTAACAATTTATGTATTGGAGGAACAATCAATTATTCAACACAAAAATATCCATAAAGCTATTTGAATATCTCCCGATGAAAAGAGAAAAAAATCAAATTGACCGCATCCCTATTGATAAAAGAATGGAAAAGATCTCTGTTGTACAATATGTTCGTGCGATGAGAGGAGCAGTCGACCGGTCTGTGTAGGGGGCAGGGAACTGTCCTTGCATCGGAAACTAAACTCCTGGGTTCGAATTCCGGGCAAGACATGGATGTTTCTTTCACTCTCTGTGTGTCCTATGTCCTTTCTCCTTTGTGTGTGAATGTGACCCACCCTATAAACGGGTTGTGGTTGTGTGAATGGCGTGGCAGAAGTCGAATTCCAGGCCATAGATAGCGCCACTGAAAAACAGGAACAATCCCACCGCCTTAAACAGGTATACGACCAAAAAAAATGAGAGGAACAGACGTAAATTCTGACCGTTTATTGGTCAGTGGTAAAGTAATAATTAAGTTGAGTAACATGAAGAAAGAATGCCATCGAACAAGATTTAATGTCCAGATATTAAAAGACCAAGATATTAAAAGACCAAGATAGGTTGCCTAAAATTTAAGCTGAGTTTGGAAAATCGTTTTCAGGCTTTAAATCACTTCAAAATGGAAATAAATGAAGAAACAAAAAAGATCTACGCAGAAAGTGCTGAACAGATGCTTGAAAAGAAGACATTTGAGGATGAGGAGTAGATATCTGAAATGACGAAGAAGTTAGTTTGTGAAAGACGTTGAATTAGACAAAAAAGTAATCAGAAAGTAACAAGCTATAACTAAACCAGAACATTGGAAGGATTAGAAGGGGGGAAATAAAAATTGTAGGATTAGTGCAAGACAAGATAAAAGGAAATATTACGAAGATCTGGCCACATCAGCTAAAGAAGCAGTTAGAAACAATGACTCAAAAAGGTTTTATGACATTACTTACAAAATTAATGGAAAGAGACGAACAATTGAAGGGCCACTTAAGAACAAACAAGGTTTAAAACTTACATCAAAAGAAAATCAGACCAAAATGTGGCTTGATCCTTTTAAGGAAACCATAAATAAACCAAATTCTGCTGTTTTGGAAGTTATTTCAGAAGAAACGCCTAAACAATTAGACATAGGTCCAATAACACAGCTTGAAGTGCAAAAAGCAATAAAATTGCTTAAACGTGGGAAAGTTGCTGGCAGTGATAACCTACTGGTGAAATTTTCAAGGAAAGTTCGAAAACTTCAATCAAAGTTTTAACTGAGATTTAATAAAATTATGAAGAGTGAAGAATGGCCAATCAGAATCCTTCAAGGTTGATTCCGGTGTTGACAGGGTTGTATACTTTCTCCAACAATCTTTTAAATTGCTATTGACTGTATTATGAAGAAAGTATCAGAGAATAAAAGCGGTATAAGATGGAACACTGCTGAATATCTTTCAGATCGTGATTTTCCAGACAACTTATGTTTACTGATCAATATTCAAATATTTTAAACATAGAGGCAAAGACAATGGGACTTAGTATCCACCAAAATAAAATCAGCATTTAATCATAAACAATTAAATGACATATTTTTTAGAAAATAATGAACTGGAGGAGGTAAGCAGTTTTACGTATCTTGGAAGTACGGTTAACAACAGGGAACTGATGAAGATATCCTAAATGGATTAAACAAAGCCCGAAGCAGTTACGCTATTCGCAATAAATTCTGGAAAAACAAAAACATAAATTCAACAAAAATTTGAATTTTCAATTCGAATGTTAAGTCTGTCCTACTATATAAATCTGAAACATGACACTACAGTTAAAATAACTTGATAAAACTTCAAGTATTTATTATTAACAACTGTTTACGAAGAATCTTACGTATCAAGTGATTCCATAAAATTTGTAATGCAGAAATCTTTAGAAAAGCAAAACAGAAACCAAATTGATCTGGAAATTAAAAAAAAACGTAAATGGAAATGGATTGGTCATATTCTGCGTAAACCTGAAAAAATTTAAAGTAAAAGAAGTTTTTGATTCGAACTCTCAGGGAAATATAAAAAGAGGAAGACTTAAAAATACTTGGCGCAGGACTATTGTAAACGAATTGAAAACAATAGGAAAGACGTGCAAAGAGTCAAATTATATGAACACTAATAGAATGAGATGATAAAAGCCCTATGCTCCAATTCGGAATGAAGAGGAATATGTATGTATGTAGAAGCTAAAAGTTTCAAACAGAAGATGGAATTTATTTTACGCCTACTTAAAGAAAAATCTGCTTATGAGAAATTAAGATCGTATATCATGATAAATCGTAAACATTAAGATCGTAAACATTTTCTCCGAAATATAGTAATGAAAGAAAAAGTGTTAATTGTTGAAGTTCCAAAAGTAAAACATTCCGATATTAAATATTCAACATATGAGAAACAAAAAACATCCTTCAGCAAGGTATAGGTAATTATTTCTCGCTCAGAAATGGAGAAAAAAGAAATAGGGGGAAAAAATGAAGAGGCGTGTGAATCGCTGCGAATCAACATTTTCTAGTATACTTACTAATTAAATTAATAAGACTGTGATAAGTAAAAGAAATTTAGTTTATGGAACTATTTGTTTACAGTGGTCATGGTTTGTTTACAGTGGTTACTGGTCATGGAACTATTTGTTTACAGTGATACAGATTCTATTTAAGAAAATTTCGGCTGGTAATCGTATTCTCACCTGCATATTTATAAATGTTTTAAAAATTATAGCATTTATAATTTTGAATCTAAAAACCACATTTACCAGTAAAATTAAATTTATGTGAATTTATAAAGAAAAAGTGTAAAATTTTAATGGTAAATATTATAAAAACCATCTAATCTACGTCCTAAAAAACAAAATTTATGAAGAAAGGGTACTAATTCGTTTAGAAAAAAAAATCGTCATACTATTTTTTTGACACCAATGATGCTTAATTAGTTTTTGTAATAGGTACTAATTAAAACAAAAAACAAAATACGTGATGAAAAAAATTAATACAGAATGCTATTGACCCCTATGATGTATAAACCTTGGTAATTGGTTCAGTTTTAATCAATATCAAATATAATATTTGTATAAATTATTACATTATTGTATTTGGAACGTATTATAACTGTACCAATACTGTGCAGTTACTGTGCAGTCGAAAACAATAAATACAGGTGTAAATTGCTTGATTATGTGGTCAATTTTGACCATCATAAATTCGCCTCGAGGAAGAGCATCCTGCCAAATAATAGTAATTACAACTAATCTTTATTTTGACGGGATGAACAACTGCAAATGTGTTTTGCTTAACCAAATAGCGTAAAGTCACCAAAAAGGGTAAAAACTAATAATAAATAAAAAATAATAATTTCATTTAAGTGTTAATTTATTCTGTTGGTACACGTTTTTCAGAATTGGGCCTCACTTTGTAATGCAGTTCTGTTTATTTACAGTAATATATAGTTATGTATAGAAACAGATTATTCATTCTTGTCTTTACCCTATACAAAGAACAAGCCTTCAGCTGGTATAAAATAATTAAAAACATTTTCATATGGGAGAGTAGTTTTGTGTACTTGAAATTTTTATTGCAAATTAACTCACCACGTTGTAAGTTGCGGTAGGAGCTAGAAGAGAACACATTTTCTCCATTGTATATTCACATTCTTCGCATACAACCACTGACAGGGGGAAAAAAAGAAGAGCAAAACATATTAGTGCTACAATATATTTTTTTAAATAAGAGATTGTTGTCTACATATTATTCATGACAGTGGAAATAAATAAATAAATAAAGATACCACACTCAATGACTTTTTTAGGTAGGAACAGTGTGTTTGGTAGGACGTTGGTCTGATGTTCGTGAGAATGGAAGTTGGAATCCCGCCGGCTGAAGAATCCCCGTGTATTAAAGTACGTCGAAGTTCCCTTAACATATCCATACCTCTGGAGTTACTTAGTTGGAGATGATTGATCGTTCTCTTTATGGTTCAGGTCAAAATTACAATCTGTGAATGAATGGAGTATGATTGGATCCTCCCTGTAAAACGTGCTGTAACGTGTCCGTGTGTGGCTAAAGACGTATTTTTGGCCATAAGTGCAAGCCGCTGCCTTAAATATTCGCTTGATTTTAAGCAGGCTTGCTGATTGGAAAGTAGCATAAGTAACAACACGACAACATAATTTTTGTTCAAATGATCTCATTTTCACGTATTAAGTGCAAAATAAATAGTACTAACTATTAAATAAATTTAGAACAATCAGGCACAAAAACTTGCAATTTTCTAAAAGAACATACATTTTTTCTGACTGATTTGATATTTATTCGACTTCCAAAATATGGGGAATCCACTTTGGAAAATAGGATCACTATAGTGTCAAAAAATTTTTGTCAGGAGGGTGATCGATAGTATTGGACTCTTGTTATTTCCTCTTTTAGCGTATTTCGCAATATCTCAGGAATACTTGAAATGAACTGATAACTTTCTGTACGCACTTATTAAACTTGTTTTAGCACAGACGATTTCATGTGAAAAATAATTTTTAATAAAATTATATTTGTTATTTCATTATTATTTTATATAATAAGTGCAGAAAACTTATAAATTGTAAAACACGCAAATATTTACATCATTTTAGACTAAATTAGTTTAAATTACCGAATACAAAATTTGAAAGAAGTCAGTCAAATATTTTGTAAATTACAAAAACAAAAAAAAGAAGAAGAAAAAAGACGAGTTTTAAAGTTTTTTTTTCTACACCGATTCAACCAATTTTGATCAATTTTTTAATTTTCTTTTAAATAACGTAATTCTATTCTCCAGTTTAGAAATGCATGAATAATTATTTAACATTTTGCACAGCTCAAAATTCAAAAATATCCTTTTGTCAGATTTCGTAAATCAAACAATAATTTGCATCAATTATGTGCTAACTATTATTTAATGATGAGGTGAAGACTATTAATTAGCATATTTGAGGCAAACATTCGAAAATTAAAAATTGTCACCTAATTTGCGAATATCCATTGAAACAAAGTTTATAGGGTTAATTTCTTTTCTTTTAGGCGGGGGACTCATGGTCCTACTATACTATTTTTTGAAATAGCATATGCAGCCACTAACAATAAAGGATATATATTTATAGAGAAATATGCACAAAAGGATTTTTGTAAAATTTCCACGAAGATATAAACTTAATAAAATAATTTTGATAAATATTATCGATCAATATTATCAGGATAGCAGCTTACCTTGAGAAAAAAGTGCTAAGCACAAAGCTAAAGCTAAACCCTTCATTGTGTTAATCGTTGAAGTTCTGTTGAACAAAAAAGAACGAAGCAGAAGATGCATAAAATTAATATACATTTGAAAACTATGAATCACCTGCTAGTTCTGTGAGAAAAATTACATGTGTTGCTTCAATATCTGAGATTAAAATTATTTCTGATAACTTACCGAGTTAACTTTAGACTTACTGATTTTTTTACCTTTCAGCAAAATTAATTTTTCTGTTTCAATCTCATTTTCGCAGTGCTTAGTTGGAAAAGAATAGTTAAACAAGTAAATTATCTGAATAAAAACTAATACAAGCAACATTTTTACTAAATTATTTCTTTATTTTATTAAACTCTATAATTTAAAATAGTTTACCCTTTAATACCAGTAACGCAGTAAATTATGTTATGTGTTTATCGGAAAAATGTTATCACTTTATCAAATTTAATGTATTTGAAAAGTGAAATAAAAACAGGAACAAAAGGTTGCTTATACTATATAGTTATTACTCTAAAAAATGCTATGTATGTCTTTCACAACAATTCTTAATATCTTTAGTTTCGCCTTTCTCAGTGATGATTCCTTAGATGTCAATATCCTTAATATGTATCATTTTTGACAAGAAGTCTAAAAAATTATTGGGTTGGTAAAATGTAATTGCATTTTTTTTCAACAGATGGCATTAGTGCAGTTTTAGAAATGCGTGAAGCAATTACAATAGTAGTTTTTGTCATTGATAACGAACTGTAAAAGCGGAACAAATTAAGATACTTCGTTGAAGTTTGGCAGCACGTTGTACATGAAAGATTAAAATGTTTATTGCAGCCAAATTTTACCTCCATAAAAGAAAAAATACGTTTAAAATTCGTGAAAAATTTCGTATTTTATTGGTACAACATACATTTGCTGGCTTGTGTGCTCAATTCAGGCTTATGAACCTTAGTCAAGTAGAAGGACAGATAGCACAACACAGAGAAGAACATCACGAAGAATACATCCAGGGTTACGGCGGGATTCGAACCTGCCACCTCCAGGCTTAACAATGAGTTTGGCGGGCGGCCCCAAAAATTGCGTGAAGTATACGGTGACGATCCTGTAAAAAAACGTCAGTGGCAAAACTGGTTCAAGAAATTTCGAGCTAATGATTTTGATTTGAAAAATACGCCTACCCGGATTGAAGGTGACAAAATAAAGACATTGAACCTGACAAACCCATGTTACACGTGATTGCAAAAACATTAAAGATCAGTCAAGAAAGAGTTTACGTCCATCTAAAAAAACAGGGAGATCGAATTTTGGGTTCCTATCGTGAATTCATTCATTTGACGACGTTCAATTTAGTTCATTAAGTAAATTTAATGACAACAAAGAAACACCTGCGATATGCTCATGAAAAATGAAGAAATTGACCTTTTTTTTGAACTGGTGATCGATGGGAATTGGATTGTTTAAAACAGTGATTCTCAACCACTGTGCAGCGGCACTTTTGTGTGCCGCCAAATTCTTACAATTTGCCGCCAAATATTAGAAATGATACAATAAAAATAATAATGGAACAAACGGAAATAAAAGTTAATCATTAAAGTAAGCTTTGCAATTAATAGTTATAAAAACAAATTGACAAAGGGTAATTCACAAAAAATAAGCTAACAATTAAAAATCAGCAAAAGAACTAGTTAACAAGAAATCACAAAAAAATAACAGTTAATAGCTATAGAAAACAAGCTAACAATTAATAACTAGAAATAAAATAATAATTGTTACTAATAAAAAATTAGTCGAAAGAAATAATTAATCACTTAATAAACGTGCTTTTGTAGTACATATTTTTTTATTTCACATTCAAAATTATTATCACAAACTATTTAACACAGTGTATTATAGGTAAGTAAACAACTTTGAAACTAATTTTTTTCATTGTGTGCCACCCCCCAATAAAGGTTGAATCACTGGTTTAAAACAATGTAGTACGCAAACGGTTTTGGTCCCGAGGGGTTATGGTTCACCACCTACGACTTAACCAGAACTTCATACAGAGGAAGGTTAAGTCCTCAGTGACCAAATGTGACATTTTTTGCTCTCAGTGACCAAATGTGACATTTTTTGAACTGTAATCAAGGAATAGAACAATTAATTTAGATGTGTACTGTAAGCGATAGGACTGTTTTAACGAAACTGTTATCCAGGAACGTCCTGAGCTCGTCTATAATAAAGGAGTAGTGTTTCATCACGATAAGGCGAGATCGCACACATCTTCGGCGAACCATCAATAGTTATTGGAACTTGGGTGGGATATGTTGTCCCACCTACCACACTCACCTGACCCTGCGTCGTCAGACTTCCACTTGTTTTGCTCTCCTCAAAACGTAGAATAACATTAAATTCTGATCAGGCTGTAAATTAGCACCTTGTTCAGCCGCTAATAAATACAAGTTCTCTTACATACGAGGAATTATGAAGCTCACAAGACAATGACAGAAGGCCATCGAACAAAAGGGAACATATATCTCTGATTAACTTTAATAAAAATACATGAATTTAAAAAAATTAGAAGAATAACAAACACAATGACTTTTTACTCCCAATACATTGACAGTCATTACAGAGAATCTTGCATTAACTTTAATAATTATTATTTAATTAAACTCATGTATAATAATGACATTTATTAAACTAATTTAAAAAAAGGAATATTTTACTACATGATTAAACAACTGACGGGTAGGTACGGCTTTTAGATTAAAAAACTGAAGATCCTTAAAAGAGAAGATAAAAAATGAGAAAATAAATACATAAAAATGTAAAAGTTTTTCTTCTCTCGTATTATGTACCGGCAGACTTTGAAGTTCAGTACATAAAATTTACACTTTTCGGACTTATTCCAAAAATATACGCGGGAGAGGATTTAAGCAGAAAAAATATCAGAATTCTATAAACATGGCGGTTTACCCGGCGTTTCATCCGTTTTTCTATGGGTGCCGATTTTTTTTCTTTTTAATGTGAGATTTTTTTTTAAAAAACGTTCCATTCACCTGACAATCTAGGTGCTAATATTTCCGAAACTACATCTACTTCAAGTATACCTTACATATTATTCAAATATATCTCAAAAGAATTTCGAACGAGAACATGGAATTCAGAGATGAAAGATTTTATCTCTTTTGAAAAATATCCCAAAATGTTATTTCGAAAATAAAGTTTGATCCCACCCATTGTAAATTCACGACTCAAAGCAATAACTTATTTCATGTTTTTTATTTCTGCATTTATTTTTTATTTTTTTTCCTTCGCCTGCATTCGTTTTTGGTGAATTAATGAAATCTGACATAATACTCGGTATTTGAAATTAAATACGTTTAATTAGTTTAAATAAAAAAACAGAGTAAATTCATTGATTTGCAGTCCTATTTTCTGTCCTTACTTTTACTGCAAGTATGAAATCCATCATCAAGCAGAAAAACGGTCGTTTTTTTTTTCTAAACTTTTCTTTTTTTATAAACCTTTTATAACCGTTAAATATATTTTTCCAAATAGCACAATACGAAAGGAAATAGTCATATAAAAAAAGTTCTTAATTCTTTTATCCAAAAGAAAACTCTAAAACTTTAATACTTTGTCTACTGCAAGAAAAAAAATCATTTAAGTAAAATATATATATACATTAAATGCCACTTCAGGCAATATTATTAGTATAAAGTTCTATTCAATATCTGTTTTTTCTCCCGATTCCAAATACCTGCAAGTGAGTAATTTGTGATATTTGTTTATGTCATGATTCAGAAGCCAATCACGTTCGACTCACGAGCGTGACGTCCCTTATAAGTATCCAATTAAATCTGATCCGAAATTTTTTCAACGTGGTAATAAACCCACTCCTTAAAGCTGTAACGTTACCTCGCCATGCACAACCACGTGATAAGGCTTAACCATGTGATTTAAATCACATGGTTGGGACTAATCACGTTCTTCTTGAGTTTCGAGTACCTAATTATGAATTAAAATTCTCACATTCGCTTACGCATCAAACAATCCATGCATGAAGTATTTTTTGCTATTTTCTCATATCCGATCCATGTACAACATAATCGAGTTAGTTTCACTTAAAATTCTCAGCAGAGACAATTTTGTCTCCATAATTAAGGCTGAAGTTTGTTTGTTTTTTTCATCATCTGGGTTGAGTTCAAAAATACAAAGCGACCGAATTGAACACTACAAAAGAGCACATCGTAGCAGCCGCCGATTATAAAATAAAATATATTTCATGTTATCACGAAGCAAAATTTTAAAAGTTATTAACGATTTTTTTCTTTATTGTATTATCTTCTATTTTATTCACCTCTTAAGCATATGAAAAAATAAAGATTCAGCTACTATTTGGGGGGAAACATATAAATCCAATTTAAAACTCTACAATGGCATTAATTAAAATAGCAATTTAAATCATTTAAAAAAATTAATAAAAATCTTAGTGCAAGTTTGTAAAATCTGCCTTCATGCTTATATGTTTTCCCATTAAACTGCCTACATTATTTTTCATAATACTGTATTCCGACTTTTATTTGTATAGTTTATGTTCAATATGATTGTAAACTTTCCAGATGAAACATTGAAATTTGACTAACATTCATAATAAAAATTAGAAAATGTTTCATTCATAGTTCAAAGTATTCTTTTTCAAAAAGGAGTTGCAGTTAAATTAACAGAGTTGTCTTTTGCAGCATTAATGAAGCTTAACCAAACAATTTGTAAGAAAATATTTGCTTCTAGGCAAAAATTTGCTTAATCATGACAAAAACTATGTTAGAACCCTGAAAAATTCTCGAAAAATAAGAGGTTTAAATTCCATTTTCAAGAAAAATTATAATTCTATAGTCATATCATAACAATTTTTAAAACAATGAAATATTTGCATCAAATACTGCACCTTATGTCGATTTATTTTACTGTATCATTGGCGTTTAACTTCTAATTCATCTGATAGGTGACCTAATAATCTAGGAGTAACAACTGAATTCGGTATCAGGGAAACTAATGTTTTAGGAAATTTTCCAGTGAAACTAAGACACAATTGTATTATCTGGAGTGAAAACCAGGTTGTGTTAAATATAATGCAGCAGGCCATTTATCACTAAAGTTATTTCATAAGAAAACCAGGCACTGTTTTCCAAGCAACAATGGCTCATTTATCATGAAAGATATTTCATATGAAAACCAAAAATTCACCAATGCATTTCATTGTAACCAAAACTGTAGCTGCCTTTTTATCACTTAAGATAATCCATATGAAAATAACTCACCATTGATCAAAAGGCAGCAGCCCATTAATCACTTAAGATATTTCAAATGAAAACCATGCACTGTTATCAAAGCAACAATGGCCCATTTATCATAAAAGGTATTTCATATGAAAACCAGCCTTTTTATCACTTAAGATAATCCATATGAAAATAACTCACCATTGATCAAAAGGCAGCAGCCCATTTATCACTTAAGATATTTCATATGAAAACCATGCCCTGTTATCCAAGCAACAATAGCCCATTTATCATGCAAGATATTTCACATGAAAACCAGCCTTTTTATCACTTAAGATAATCCATATGAAAATACCACTGTTATCCTAATGTGGACATCCATTTATCACAAAAGATATTAATTTCATATGAAACCATGCACTGTTATCCTACTGTGAACACCCATTTATCACTAAGATATTAATTTCATATGAAACCATGCAGTTATCCCACTGTGAACACCCATTTATCACTAAAGATATTAATTTCATATGAAAACCATGCTTTGTTACCCTAACTGCAAAAGCCATAATATCACTAAAGACAATCCATATAAAAATTACGCACTGTTGCTCAAAAGGCAGCAGCCCATTTATCACTTAAGATATTTCATATGAAACCCCTGCACTGTTATACAGGGGTAGCAGCCCATTAGTCACTCAAGATATCTCAGATAGGAACATTAATCATAACTAACCAGCAACACTATCACCTGGCCAAGTAAATGTTGAAAACAAGCCAAGCATGCAATAAATTACAGGTAAATGATGAGATGTTCTCTCAAGTATCGAAAATCTCAAGATAAAATTGTTCAAGAAATTCAAACTTTTTGTTGTTTTTGTAACATTCGTTGTTTCATTTAGTAAATTTGTTAAATTCGCATCGAAACACATTTCTGTAATAATTTTTTTTAGATATTTTTGCAAAAAACTCAAGATTCGGTAGATATTGACACTGAAAACTATCATTGATTTTTTTAAAAAAATTTTCCGGATTTTATCGGCATCTGCTACTCTTTTATAACCACATCGAAGTAATTCCTAAGGGTCAGATAAACTTGGTTTAAAAAAGTAATATAGGTAGCTTACAAATATAATCACTGTGCTGTTGCTCAATATAATTAGTGTGCTATTAGTTCTTAAAATGAAACATTTTTGAAAACGTTAAATCTTAGTACTGAGTAGTCACAGAATTGCCCTTTTGAAAGGTTAAAATACGTGTCAAAGTAAAGAATTTAAAAAAAGAAAATTCTAGTAATTTCTAAAGTATTTGGAGTAGATATTAGCTATGTAAATTTCAATCAATTTATAATGGTTATGTTTTAGACAGAATGAAAACTTAATTCTATGTTAAAAAATTTGATTAAATATAAATATCATTCATTTATAATTATTGGTATTAAAAATAGACAATTTTAAAATACTTCTAAGAAAATGAATTTTACCCTAATTCCAGTAATTTATTACGAATAATATTTCCTCTTCTGAGCTTAAAATATTCATTCTATAGAACTATTTTTTTTTCTTCATTAGTAACAATCTAAGACAAAGGTTTCCTGAAAACTGTCATTTTTGTAGTTGCCTGATAATTTTTTTAAAAACAAAGCAACTTAAAACTAAGAAACAGATTTTTCATTAAGAATGGGAATAAGTCAATAACATTTATTTTAGATTAGGGTGTGAAGTCTTAGTTCAAAAATGTTAAGGTAAAGTAATTTTAAATTTTGAGTTTTACATTTTTTTTCTAACTATGGCAACAATGAACTTAATATTAAAAAATACAAATCAAAGTGAATAAAAAAAAGCCATGCTTTTAAAACAATTTTTAAATTATTCATTTTAGTTTCCCCAAAGGAAGTGGGAATAATACCCTGAATTATTCCAAAATATTGAACAGTTAATTTTCAGAAAGATTGTTGTGACAAACAGGAATTTTTGAAGCAGTGTAGGCAACAGAGATGAATCTCTTTATCTCTATGAGTAGCATCAGAAACAGCAGCATATGCAGATCATCAAATTCCATTTTCTTCTGATCTATATTTTTTTAACCTTATACAATTAAAACCTTAAAAACAACTTTTTCAATTTCCTTTTTGTTTTGGAATATTAACGATAAATGTATTCTCTGAAATGAAGTGTAATTTTTTTCTACTATTCCTAAAATTTCTATAAGCTTAAAGTATACAGGTGTTACAGACAAAAGAAAAAAAAAATTACTTTCTTTCAGCTTCTGGAATTTTTTTAACAAACAGAAAAAAATGCAAAGAAAAAAAGAAAGAAAATCCTATACTACATGCTAGCAATTTAATACTACTAGTTTAAAAAATTTGTAAGTTCAGTTTTGTAACAAGCATTAGAAATTCTAGGACAATTTGGATAAAAACAGCTGCACTATCTTTTGTCAGCACTAGACAAAAATCTTAATCCAATATCATTCTTTATAAAAGATTTAAAGCAAATAAAAAAAGTCAAATCTAACTTAATAACATTGTTACAACATTAAGAAACCAATCATATTTTTCATTATTTTTCTACATAAATATAATTCTCAGAAGGTACATAAATTAGCTAAGCAAAATGTAAGCATTAATAAACATCAACATGCAAGCTAGTTGCATCCGCATCTATTTTTTAAAATTATTTGCATTAAGAAAATTTACATGTTACTGCTAATGTGATAATAAAAACACAAATGGATTCATGACAAAACCATTACCCTAAAATTTTTCAACAGTCTATTTAAATCTTTTTACTAATAATCCTAGAAACCTTGCACAAGGTAGTATAAAAATAAAACAGTAAAAGATAAATTAGTCTGTAACAATACAAACATTTATGATCGATTAAACCAAAACACAATGTTCCCCCCCCTTTAAATCTAAACTTAGTTTAAGTTTTTATTTTAAAAAAATCAATAACAGAATATATTTTATACTGATCCTTTTCCATTTTTTATTATTAACTGCAAACACAAAGATGTTTGTTTATGTCTGCCATCTTTTTAAACATTTACCTTTGAAATTTACAGCCGAGATCAAAAATATTTCAAATGGACGAAAAACAATATGAAAATAGTACGATTAACATGAATGTTGGTTTTATTTAGCAATTTTGGAAAAAATATAAAAACATTCTTTCTGTTTGAAATGCTAAAAAAAAAAATAATAACAGGCAAATTACAATTGAATAATTTTGAAAGAATATGAAATGAAATATTTATAAAGAAAAAAAAACTGAATAAATAATTATTTATAATTTGGAAAACGTCTGGTTCGCACATAAATTTCCTTAACAATTTCACGAAGAAGAAAAACATAGTGTACAACATAAAAGCATATTTATTTGCTTTCATAGAAGTAAAAATGGTGATTGCACAACATATTAATGAAAATAATGAATTATTTAACAAAATATTTACAGAAGAGATATACAATAAATTCTGTCACAACAGATAAAACCTATTCCAACACCAAATATTACTGATCCACTTTAGGAACAGTTTTCATCTGTTCCAGCTGTTTTTTATACTCTTCAGCCTCATGTTGTTTTTGCATTAACTGTGATTTATATAACTCTGCTTCTTTTTTTATTCTTTCCAACTCCTTTTTCAGCTTTGAACTTTCATCTTCTTGTAAGTCCTAAACAAGAAAAAAAAAAAAACATAAGTTTGAATTGAAAAAAAATCTCAATCGATCAAAAAAATGAAGTTGGATAATACAGTGAAAGATCTATGTAACACAATTCTCCGTAAGCTACACTAGCTTTATGGTTTTAAAAAATTGAATGACATTTGCAGTTAAAAAAAAAAAATTCTATAACTAAACATGAACAGAGTTGCCACAGAAAAAAAAATTTCAACAAAATAATTGCTTTTAGTAGACTAAAGCATAAAAACAGCTGCCAAAAATTATGAAAATAGTTGCCTAAATAAGAGCAAAAATTCAGAAAAAATAAGACTAAAATTTTATTAAATGACTTAATTGTCATATACCATGATCAATTTAGTCAAGTTGGTGGCAAATATGATAATTTTATACAAACGTTAGTGTTCTAGCACTAAGTTTTTATGTAAAAAAAATTAGTACATTTGCAGAAATACTTTTAATTACTAGAATTCATTCAACAAAAAAAAAAACTTTTTCTTTAAAAAAAAAAACATAGCTTTTCTAATAAATTTTCCCTTTTATCAATAATTGATTAAGCATATATATATNTTTAACTATACACACACACACATTGTGAAAAGTGATTACTAAAATTCGGAATTCATGCATTGTAATATCATATTAAAAATTAGGGTTTTTAAAATCATGCAGAATTTCGCAGCAATAACCGTTGAAAAGGCGATAGAGAAACGAAACAGACTTTTGATGTAAATTGAACAAAACTGAACTGAGCAAATTGAACACATTAAAAAGTGGTGTCTAAAGTTTGCAGTTCAAAATTTTTTAAGAAAAGAAATACAGTGTATTCAGAAGATCCCATGGGCCTTAGGCTTTCCACTCAATTTATGTTAAAAAAAAACATTGCTAGGAGTACAGAAAAGTCTCCCAATAGTCTCTTTTTCCTGAAAATAATTGCTTTTTTATTCATTTCAGGGAAAAAAAGTTGCCATAGTCGTCTCATGCTGAAAATAGTAGCAAATACTTGCATTTTAGTCGCCAGTGGCAACCCTGCATCATATATAAACTTTTTACATCACTTATTTAATTATTTACTAAAACGTAAAAATTTTAAAAGCTAAGCAAAAAAAAATTTATCATTATTTTTTTGCTATTGTTAGTTCTAATGCAACAGAAAATTTCAATTTTTTTTCTGTAAATACGAAATACTTCACTGCATATTTACGGTTTTTAATTATATGTACCAAAAATTTTTTTTAAAGAATTTTAATCCGTTCCAGAGAAATATTGCCATACATGGTTGGCAAGTTTATGGATAAGTGAAATGATCTATATAACACAAAACTCCATAAAACACAAAACCCCAGCTTCGTGTTTTTTGAAGTTTGCATATAAAGGTCTTCTTTTGTATGTCAATTCTTAATTATAATAAAAAATTCAGCTGTTATATAAATTTACATTATTTTTTAGTATATTTTCGTTAGAATAGATAATTATCTAATCCTCTATCCTAGATAAATTGCTAGGCTAAGATTGATGTATTAATTTCTTGGTTCTTTATAACCAGGACAATAAAATTTCAGTTACACTAGGCAGACTGAAATTTTTGCTCAACATGATTTCTCATTAATAAATTGAAAATTCTTTAAAATGTTAGCTGATGTAGTATGAAGAATTTTTTAATGTTATCAAAATCATAAAGTAATGTAGAACTTTAAAAACATATTTAGAACAATTATAATGATATTAAATCAAAATAAATCTTTCATAGCTAAAAAGTAGTTTTTGTAATTAATGGACGAAAAATGCCATCACTGGATAACAATACAATTCCATGTGTCCCGAAGCAGAATCGTGGTGACACTGTTGCAAAAATGTTACAGAGTTCTTGCAGAAAAATTTTTCATTTGGGAAATAAAATAATTTTGGTTTTCTGCAGAAATTATCAAAACATTTCCCCCCTTCAAAATTATGCTCAAAAGATGCCTTACTCACGCATCAGAGGAAAAAGAAAATGCCCCCTGACTTTTCTATTCCCCTCAACTATTACAGGGTGTGTAGCCAAATTATTCAACAAAAAATAAGCACCTTTTAAGCACTCTAATAATATTTTTAAGCACTTTAAAGGAATATCATAATTAGGCAGGGTTGAAAAGTTTTTGACAATTGACAGTTTTATCTGGTTTTAACTGTAATGTCAAAAAAATTCTTTTTGCATTATTTTGGATAATTGTCGAAATTTTTGCATCATGTAAATCGAATGGCGTTTTCATAAGCTGTGTTCTGACTATGCGCTGAAATAGGTTGGGGAGGAATTAATTGCGAAAACGTTGAATAGGAAATTGTGAACAGTGTCTTTCTGAATAATTTGTAGGGAAAATCAACATGGTAAAGGAAAAATCTCAATTTGGAAAAGGGAAAATTAAGCACTTTTCAAAAACACCCAATGAAAAAAGCACATTTAAGGGCTTTTAAAAAACGGAAATCGAAAATAAGCACCTTTAAGTACTTTTTAAAACGCTACGCACCCTGTGTTAATGATATTCTCGCCAGTTTGTGAAAAATATCAAAATTATTATGGCACACAAAGTACAAATCACAGATTCAAGAAATCACACAGAGACGTACTTTGTTTGCGCTGATATCCTCGTTAATCCTTGCAGTGTTTCAATCAATCTTCGGACAGTTATTGGTACGAATTTTCACAATTGAAAAAAAAACGAAAGAAAAAAAAAAGAAAAAAAATCTTACCTTTTTTTTATAAAATTTTATTACATGCCAAACTCAAAAAATTTATTTGATCATTTACTTTTAAAAAGGACATAATCCTTTTTATCGCTAGTACTACTCAAATTCTACGGTTTTTTTTAAATTCTAATTATTTGTTAGTTGATATTATTCCAACGTAAAACTTGAATTGCGCATTTAAATAATCACTTTTTGACATGCTCAATTAATCCTGATAAATATTGCAAATCCATGTAAAGTTTTGATTATATTTCCGGCAGTTATTGATATTGATTTTCACTCCGTTTTTAAACATCTCGATATATTTCCAACAGTTTGGGAAATTCAAATCCCGTAATTGAATTATTAACGTAATGATTATATTGATTTTTTTGGGCAGTTATTGCTATTAATTTTTACATGCTTTTTAAAATCCGATATTTTTAATACAACATTATTTATTACAACAACCGAATCTGGAAACTAAATAAGCATTTAGTGTCCTCTTTTTGAAACATCTAATTAACATGATTTCGCCATAGATCTTTTTTTCAGTAGTTACTGTTACAGATTTTACGATTTTGATTTTTTTTTGTATACCATAATGATTTACAAATTGCGAAAAAGGAAACAATTAGGGTGTTTTTCCCCTTCCCAAACTGAGAGCATATCCCATAATATTAGAATATAAAATATATTATATATTCAATTAAAACCCCATTCATATAAAATAAAATTGCATATACTATATATATATTTTAAACACGTTTCTGTTTCCTTAATTAAGTCTAAAATGTATATTTATTATTAAAAATATCTTGTAGAAAGACATCAGTGCTAGTGAGGTTTGTTGTAGAAAGCTTGAAAAAATTATGCCACATTGTCCATATGTCAATGGATTGAAATACGATAATCTAAGCATATAGTTTAATTTAGCATAACCTAAGCATATAGTCTCAAAATTTTAAGGGATATAACTTGCTCACCAGCCTTAAATATCTGTTCCCCAATTTGGAGCAGGTAAGATGAAGTTTCAATTTTTAATGTATAAATTTGTAATTGTCATAAATAATTTGCATGTTATATAAATCTACATAAGATTGTAAGCTGGTGTTATTGATATATTTTCAGCAATTTTGAAAAAAAAAAAACAGTCTCAATATGAATTTTGATGTTCAGATACTACTAAATTAAATATTGAAATTTAAATTATTTTTCTTAATATTTTATAAATGCTATGAAAAAAACACTTTTTTGTTGTCACCGAACCAATTTTTAAGGTTTTAACTTTACGTTAAAAAACTGTCAGAGAAAAATTAGCAACAAACAAGGAATATTTGAGGAGGGGGAAATTTTTTTCACACACAGAGAGATAGAATTTATTTTAAAGCTTAATATTTATCACATTGAGGATTAATTGCACAGATTATAGAGTGAGTCAATGTTTCATTATGAGCCATCATTTATTTGGCATATAAAATCTTAGAATCAAAAGTTTTGAAATAACAGAATTTTTTAAATATATAATTTTTTAATATAAGTAAGTAAAATATCAAAAATAGTTAATATAAGTGGAAATTTTCATTATTTTAAACATTTTTATTGCTTCAAAAATATGTACACTGAGAAAGAGAAACTTTAGAATTTATAGAGGGGAAAAAAATAAAAGAAAAGAAGTTTAACCTAAGTTTAGCAAATGGACGAAATAGGGCTATTTAATAATATGAAGGAAAAAAAACAGTTTTGCTATGCGGAGAAAACTGCAGCTTAAAATATGACTTTTTACATGCAGAACTGACAGTGGATTATAAAGTGCTAATATGCCATGAAGAATATAAGACCATAGCTTCAAATCACTGCAAGATTTTCCAATATTACTATTTTATAACTAACAATTTTGAAAATGGAGTTAATTATAAAATAAAATGAATATTTATATAGAAGAAACAAATATGAAATAGAAAATTGGAGAGATTGATTTGCTTTTAACAAATGCTATGAATAATTAATAGGAAAATTAAAAATAAATAATTAATAAAATTAATTAATAAATAACTAATTAAATTAATTAAAAATAAAACCCCAAATAAGATATTATGTCCAGTAAAAAAAATCATTTGTAAAGAAAGTTTTTTTTATAACTTTTTAAAGCCATTTTTGAAATTCCAGAAACAAATCAAAATGCTTAATATTTAAAACAATTACTTACCGTATTCCCATTACTTATCTGTTTATCTTCCTCTCTTTTGACTTGACTGATTTTCATTCTTTTAATGGAAGGATTGGACTCTGTAAAAATGAGAAACAGTGAAATTAATTTCAACGGATATATATATTTTAAAACAAATATATACAGATTGCAAACAAATATATACATATACTAATATATAAAATACAGATTTCATTTTTTTAAATACACTATTTAATTTTTTTACAAGTGTCTCATTCTTTGTATAAGTAATGCTCAAAATACTCCTCAAAGCTGAAATATTGAATCTTGTTTTTCATAATTATTTAAAATTAATATATATATATATATATATATATGTATATATATAATCCTTAATTTATATTGTTTGATTTTTCAAATTGAGTATTTTAAAACAATGTAAATTTATCTCCAATACATATCAGAAAAATTCTTGATAAATTAAAATGAACTTAACAAAAAAAAGGGGGGGATTGACTAATGTTATGAAATGTAGCACATTTTTAGTTAAAATGTCAAATTTAGAATTAAATGTGGATTAAGTAAAAATAAATATATATAGTAATCAATTTAGCTTTAAGTACATAATAAAGTATTACAGTAGGGAACCGATTATCCGGAACGATCGCGACCATCGCTATTCCGGATAACTGATTTTTCCGGTTTTCTGAATAGCTACAAAAAGCCGTTTTTTTAATGTTAAACCCAACTAAAAAAAATTTTTTTTTTGGAAATAATCTTAAAAAGAAGAAAAAACGATGGAGTAATACACTAATGGTTATTTCCAAAATGATGGTAAGGTAAACATCTTTCAAAAAAGAACGAAAAATCCTAAAATCTTAAGAGGAAAAAAAAATTTTTTTTTTTAAATGGCGGGAAAATTTATCGAATTTTGTTCCGGTTTTTTGGTTTTCCGGTTTTCTGATTTCCGGATAACGGGTTCTGTACTGTACTTTGAAATATTTTTTATCCATAGAGTAGATATTGTGTTTAAAAAAATAAGTTACCTTATAAAATTAAATATTCCTAGAACAGACATGATTTCAATAGGTAACAGTCACTGTATTAAACATGGAGTACATCAAAAATAACAAATGATTTAAAAAATCCCATTATTAAAAAAGAAAAAAAAAAAAAAGGGGGGGGGGATATTGAAACATGATTTGCTGAGTTCTAAGAAAACCAAATATTTATTCTTACTGAGTTTCAAATTTAGTTACAAAGCTCGTTTCATTCAAACAAAAATTTAAAACAATGTTTACAGATGCATGTTACATCATTGCAACAGTTTTATTGAAAATATTGCTCAATAATTATTCTCAGCAATCAGCACCATCTATTGATGAACCTTGCAACTAATTTGAAAAAATGGAACCAGAAAAACATTTTCTGGTTTTCGAAATAGATATCATTTTCATTTTTAACTATCACCGTCATTTTTTTCCTTAGTTAATGTTGAAACTCCTCGCCACTTTTTTAAACCGCCTAGCATAATGCTAATGGTTGACAATATAATAAAATTATAGTGGTAAAAAAACAAAACAAAATAGAAGTGTGCTTGCTTGCAAAGAGTAGAGAAATTATTCAAAACAAGGATAGCAAATTATTTGTTCAGAACTTGAACTAATAATTTGATAACTTAAATAAACAATACCTAGGCATTATATGGAACACAGGACTTTGATGGTTATATATATATACATATATAGAGAGTGAGAGAGATAATATATATATATATGTATAGGGTATATATAGTTAGATACATATATATAGTTAAAAACTCAAAAAGTTCAAATTACCAGTGTGTTGATTGTTTAAAACAACTATAGGGGTTTGTGGTGATGAAATAATGGACGGTATGCGAGTTTGATCAGTTACAATGGTTATAACCCTCTGGAAAGAAAAAAAAAAGAATAATTACTATATTATTTATACATTTTAAATCAATAAAGTAAAAAAAAAAAACATGAAGTACATAATTTAAGACATATTTCACAAGACTTAAAAGAGAGCTATTTTATTTAAAAGTTGTATTAGAGAAGTATTAGCAAAAAATTTTAAATTTAATAAATTTTCAAATCATTATATACATCAATATATGCAATAAAAAAACCTTCAATTATCCTGATAAAAAGTCTTCATTTACCATTGTATTTTCTATAGGAACTTAATGTTCTCTAATTTTAATTGTTCCAAAAAATGTCGTTCTTTAAATTGGTAGCTAATTTGAAATCATGAAAACTCTATATAGATTATAGGGAGAGGAAAAAAATCTGCCAATAAATTACAATTATTTTTTCATAAACAAATAAGCTAAGTTCAAACAATATAGGAAAAAGAAATTAATTATAATTTTTTTTTAAAGAATTTTACAGATAATATTACCTGGTGTGAAGGAGTAGTACTGGTGACAGTCGTACTTTGAGTGGATTCCGGAATGGATGATGTATTTAATGAATTATTATTGATGTTTTGATGCTTCTTAACAAACCGCAGAGCTAGTTTTCCCGCTTCTATAATGGCAAAAATAAATAATTACTGCTGGATAATTGTGAAGCAATAGCATAATAAAAATTATGAATTTGGTTAATTTTTTTTTCAATGCATTATTAAACGAATTCCAAATATTTTAAATTTTTATGAGAAAAATTAGTATAAGTTTCACACTCTTCAAATAGGCATATCAGATGGAGAAATTTAAACTGACAAGGGCTTCTAAAAAATTTTTTTTTAAAAATTATAAGTATTTACAGTTTAAATTGGACTTCATTGACCTTTTTTCTTCAAATTGGCTGTTTTCTAGAATACAGCTTTGGAGAACCTTGGTTGCTCATTAAATAAAATGAAGTTTTCAATAAGCAAGGTTATCAGCTGGTTAATAACTTATTCATACACTAAACCTGTCATACTGATATCAAACTTCTAATGTATTTAACATTTTTGCATTCTTATTTTGACAAATATTTTTAGCTTTCAGGAGAAGATAAGAGGCAAATTATCGCATGGACAAAAAAATAGAAAATTTTAAATAATACACACATTTTACAAAATTCATGCATGAAGTAATTTTGATAGGAAACAAAAATAATTACCTAATTTTTTTTATTGATTCATATAATATCAGGGTAATGCAAGGAATAACATACCAGATTAATGCCACCGTCATTTTGCTAATATGTACATGCTCTTTTGTTGACATCTTCCAGACTTATTTTGCACAAATATAAGCAAGGCTAAATTTTATTAATTTTGGGTTCAAAGCATTGGTGCCTATATGCTTGTTAGCCAAAACCATTGATTTTGAGAAGAAAAAATATAGGAAAGAAAATGGTGTTAAACCACACAATATAAATATTTCTGTTTTGAAAAATTTTAGGAAGCAAATCGGTCGCACAGATCTGAATGGCTAATTCTGATCCCAAAACTGAAAATTACTTAACTAGGGCTGCATAGCATGCTAAATATTTTTTAAAAATGAAAATTAGTCATGTTAAATACCATTTTGTTTTTGATCACTCTGAACTGTTTTCCTTTATATTTACAACATTTTAATCCACAAATGATATAAAATTCAAATCTTGCATGAACTTATATTACGGGGACCAGAAAGCAATATCGTTTCACAGCATTAAATATTGGTTAGTCATAAAAACCAATTCATTTTCGATCCAGCATTCAAAAGCTATTGCTAATGAGGGTGACTACATTATTGATTAAAAATAAAATCTTGATAACAAAAATCAAATGCACCAAAATTATATAACTTTCCAGCATTCCTAATAGATACCCTTTACGTTAATCATTTTATTAAAACTGGGACATTATGATAAAATTAAATTCGTTGAACACAATTCACTTTTATAAATTTAAAATTAGTATACCAGTAAGTGACACTGTCTGTCCACCTTCTAAAGCAGATGCAACAATAGTACTGTTATCAGCAGGGTGCATTGTTATACCATTCATTTCAAGCCACTGTAATGCTTCTGATGTAGATATAGCTACAAAAGATATAATTGTTAAAATGGTAAAAGCATGAAAAACATTATTTTTTTATTACTTTCTTTAAAAAAGTCATGAAATTAATGATTGTACAAAATTATAACAGATATTTATAATTATTTGTAGTAGAGTAATACAAAAATATTTTATTAAATTGATACTATAAGTAACTCAACTATAAGTAACATACTCTTAGTAACAGTACAAATGAAAGATATAAAAAAAGACTTCTATGCATTTTTATCAATCACCTCCATATTTTATTTTATAAAAAGGAGTGAAGGCTATTTTTTTTTTTTTTACTTTCTTGTGAAAAAATATCTGTACAAATTTAAATCAGAAAAAAATGACTTAAGAAATACCCAACTTTAGTACTCATTACTAAAATATATATTGAATATATATAAACAGCACATTACCTTTATTGGTTTTTATTATTATTAAACTTACGCCAAAATAAAAACTTCTAGAAATAAAATTTTTTTTAAAAATTGAAAAGTAGATATTCAATATCTATTTAAAGATGAGACTTTTTGGACAACAGTAAAAATATTTTATATAAATGTTTATACAGGTTAATTTATACATATACAAAGGTGCTAACTTTCCAAATTAGATATCAGCAATCAGAAGTACAAGGACACAGAAATACAATCAGTGCACACGAAAATCAAATTAGCAGGATTTTAAGATGAAAAATATATATTACTTAATTTTATGTACCTATATTTTAGGGAATAATGCATGGATTGACTATGGGGAAAAAAAGTAATACTGAGATAAAGATATTAAATTAAAAAATTATACAACACTAAAACTAAATACAGTGCACTCCCGATTATCTGGGTTAATCACCGGGACAGGAAGCAGGGAGAATCGAAAAACACGTATAATCCGAAAACTCTTTTAATTAGAGAAAAAATCAATATCAGTACAAAAAATATAAAAATTACTGATATTTGCATGCTGTATAAAAAAAATTGTGTAATGTGTCTTCGTCATATGTTTTACACATGTTTTACGAACCGCAGTAATGTCACCGTAATCAAATCCTCCCATATAATCTAATAAAATTTCCACAGAGCAGCAGAAATAGAAATTGTACTTCCCTCATTTACTACATCTTCTGCATCAGTTACTATCATCACTATTTGATTTAACAACATAACGATGTCTTCATCTGTCAAATACTGGAAGTCAGGCTCACATGCATCACTTTGAAACCAATCTTCAAAATTTTCTTCGTCAAGAATTTCGAAACCTCAGATTTCTTTTGCCTGTTCGAGAATACTGTTATCATATTTTTCTTGAACATCTGAAGAAGATTGCTCATCAAGCGATATTATCTTCCTCCAAGATCGTGAAAAAGTAGACGATTTTACCTTTGACCATGCTGCTGATATTCGATATGCTTCAATCCACTAAGGAATATTGCTTCCAAAAATTTGGTACTGTTATAACTTCATGAATAAATTTTTTTTTTAATCTTTAAAGCGTTTCTCTTTATATAGTTCGTGTGACTCCGGAATGAGCACGGATAATTCGCAAACCGGATAATCTGCGCACGGATAATCGAGAGTGTACTGTATATTAGACAATTAAATTGATTAAGTCAATGATCTAGAATTCGGTAAAATTAAAGCTAAGAATTATTGCCTTTTTATCATCCTGCATTTGAACTACAAAAAAATTTTGCTCAAAGCATTTCAGATTCGAGTTAACGCTCTTTTGCTTTTCCATAAGAAGAGAAGATGAAGTTTTAGAATAGCTTAAATAAAGAAGAAATCTTTGTTTTTATTTTTTATTTCAATCAAATGTTTTTATTTATTGTTGAATAGAATTCTAATCTGTGAAAAAAAAGTATCTGTTATAGGAGTAGGACAAAAAAAAAAATATAAATATATATATATATAATAGATTCGTTGTAAAAACATTTTCATATTTTGGCTGTTAAGAAAATTTTTTTATTTCTTATTTTTATTAAATTGTTTTTTTTTTTATTGTTTTTAGAATTGTCAAAGGAGTAGAAAAAAATATTGTAGATTAGTTGCAAACAATAAAATTCCATTAGTCTTCATAGTCAAGGGAAAAAAACACTTATTATTTTAAACAGATAAAAATTCTTAAAAACTGTAATCAGAGTGCTTACCAGGTACCAGGGGGAAAAAACCATGACCTCAAAACAAGTTTGCAAAGCCCTTTCTTTGCCGCATTTTTTTTTTTTTTTTTTTACAGAAATTATTCAATTCATTTAAATGTTATTTAATGCATTTCATATTCATGTGATTAGTAAAAAATAAAAAAAAACAGAAGTTTTTTGATGGACCATTAACAAGATGTATTGCTGTTTTATTGAGTGAAATGTGGGTGACCTATTTTTCTGATGCACTGTACATTAATATAAACATACAGAATAATACTGCGTTGAAATACTAATTTTTTTTTAATTTTTGTTATATTTCTATACAATTTGACATACTGCACAGGGAGATTTGGCAGCAAAATTCAAGTAAATAAAAAACGGAAAGAAAAAAAAAGATTTAGAATATTATCTACGAGTTTCAATTCATCTCTTCTTCAGCTTTTCCCATAATTAAAATATGTTATGAGAAGACAAAGAAATAATAGCTAAAACTCAAACTGTTCTTTTCAGAGAGAAAGTGCCCAGATTTTTTAATTCCTATGGCGAACTCTGGTTAGACACTCCTAGTTATGATTTAAAAGCTATTACTATTGTAAAATTGTGTCAAAATGTGAACTTACATGCATTAGGAGCAGTTGCTTCCGCTAAAGCAGCCAAAGCTGTCAGCACATTAGTGCATCCTGGATCACTATTTTCACCTGAAAATTGATTTCAAAACAAATAAAAATATATTCAGTCACAAAATAAATTTTATCATTTAATTAACATTCAGAGAGGGAATAAAATTAAAACAAATAAAAAACAAAATTTCTTACAATGATTATAGTAAGAAATAAAATTAAATGGGATTAGATAAAGAAGAAAAAAGTTTTTTTTTTAAATACACCAAGACCTTAATTTTATGGTGGATAAGAATTAAAAAGAGATGTGATGTAAGAGTACTGAATGGTTTTCTGATTTGTCTACAATCCACATTGGCTATAATAAATGCAAATGTAGTGTCTCAATCGTATATGTGTTCTCGAAGATAAATGTGATGTAATGATTAGGAGCGGGAGAGGAAGTTTCAGCTTAACATCTTCATTGTTTTATAATATTCTAAAAATATTTTTAACATCTATAACCTATATTTATAATATATTTTACAAATTTCATAACATTTACTAAAATAATCCAATTTTTCTATAGAGAATTTTTCAACTGAAACCAATCGATTTTGTTATAAAGTAAAAGATAATGTAAAATAACAGTATAAATAACAGTAATACAATGCATCTCTCAAAAACGGAAAAATCATCAAAGAAGTTGCAAGTCGAACTCACCTTCAGAGTCACTAGAGCAGGTCACTTGTGTTGTTGTACTTGACCCAGCACCCATTTTCTGAAGATTTGCTAGACATTCTGGTGATAATTGCTCTGCCCGAAAAAACATCGGTCTTTTAACGGAAGGAGATTTCAATGGAGTATACTGGACATTTTTAATGTTACTAACTGAAGCTGGAGAACTTTGTGCAGAACTTTCATATTTCTTACTATCAGTAATATTTGCAGGTTCAATTCCTTCAGATTTAATAAGAAGAGGTATATTTATTACCTGTGAAGCAGAACCATTGTTGGATTGATTGACTTGCACAATTTTTACTTTTGTTGCAGTTGATTGTCTGACAGCTTCAGGATTAAGCATATGCTTCTGTAAATTGAAAATTTTCAAATTAGAATTATTAAATGCCTTATGATTGTCTAAATAAAACATACTGAGCAATTTGCTAAAAGGTTTTTAAATTAGTCCAAAGTTTTTTAAAAAAGTTGTAAAGTTACAATTATCTTATCTTTCAAACACACATTTCTTAATACATAACACTGGAGAAAATCAGTTTGCATTGTAAAAAAGCAGTTGATTGGAGTTGAGAAAAAGGTAAAAAAAAGAAATAATAACGCAAGAACTTTATGAAAATAAGTGGATTTTTACAAAATTTTTCTAAGATTAAAGTTAAATCAAGCAGCATGTATGAGTCTTGCTAGAAAAATTTTGTAAGATTCAAAATAGCTGATAATAATTGACAGAAACTTAAAGTAAATGAAAAAACACAGTTTTTTGGAAATTTATAAAAGCTTAATAAAACTATAATGCTTTAAATAAACTTTAATATGAAGGAATTCTTAGTAGTAAGTATGTTAATTTTGAAATTGGGACATGATATAGTAAATAATTGTATTGTTTGTTTTACTAAGTCTATATAGATAATGGAAAAAAACTAAATTAAATAATTAGTTGGTTTTTATTAAAATCTTTAATGGCCCAATGTGAATTCATATGGCACAAGTTTAAAGTGGTTTGCCAATTAACTCAATATGTGTTTTATATAATCAAAAACGACATATTTTGTATTGTTAAAAGAGCAGCCCAAACTAATAAAACACTAAAGCATTAAGGAATGAAGTAAAGCAATAATATTATAACATAGGCTAAAAACTAAAAAATTTTATAACAAAAAAATTCCATTTTGATCAGGTGGTAGCAATGCTAAAGTATCTTAAACTATTTTTATTCAGTAGATACAATATGAATTTAAAAATCTCTAATCATGCATGTTACATATTAGAGTAAATTAATCAAAAGGAATTTTCTTTTTATTCTTCATCCATCCATGTGGTGTAGAGCATGAAGCCATTCCACACTTCCTCTGACATAAGTCTTATTCATGAAAATGAACTCTTTATTTAAGTTTACACTTAAAAGATTTTTAGTATTTGAAAGTTGAATATAGATTATATCAATTTGCTTTTAGCACATTGATGAAAATTTTGAAATAAATTTTTCAACTAAAACAGGGATAATTGTGACAAAGTGAAAAAACCCAAAAATTTTATGCACAAAATACAAATATCAAGATATCAATTTATCAGATTTAACAATTTTTTGAACTAGCATTTATAATTAAATTCCCAATGAAGAATATCACCTTTAGAGTAACTGATTCTAGAAAAAACTTACTTCTTACAAGAATTGCGATATTGGAATTTAAAATCGTGTGAACATAAATCACGATGTTGGGTTTTAAATTTATGAAAATTCAAGTTGCAATAATGAATTTTTAAATTGTGTAAATATGAATCACCATATATAATTTTTAGACCAGGTAAATATGAATCACGGTGCATAATTTTTGGAACACGTAAATATAAATCAAGTTATTGGATTTTAAAAACGCTTGAACACGAATTACAACATTGAATTCTAAACTCTAGTGTAAACAAATTGCGATAATTAACAATTTTTAAATTGTGTGAATACAAATCAGGCATAACTTTTAAATCAGGTAAATACGAAAATCGATGTTTGATATTGAAATGTGAGTAAGAATTAGCAGATTCCAGTGCAATTGCAAATATTCAAAGAGACGAAAATCCTCCAAACCAAAAGAAACAAATAGGAGGAAGAATTACATGCACGTAAACGTCTCTTTAAAGAGATGTAGCAAAAGCTTTAAAATTTCATCAGATTATAAGTTTTTGATTTGCGGAAACCCACGAACTCTTGAGATACCCGGAATCCTGCAATATTCACTGAAAATCACATACCCTGTTCCTAGATTTTAAATCCGGAAGAATGAGACGAAAAAAAAAAAAAACAGAGTACAATCGCCCCTGCTAAAAAAAATAAATTATAAACAAGAAATTGTCACGTCTTTTGAAAAAAATCAAAGTGACACGGACCACATTTTTAATAAAAATTCCATTTGATTTATCACCTTACAAGAATGGGAAGAATTTTCTTTGGGAATTGCTAAAATACAGTGACAATGTTTAATGGTGACATAGATAATGATTTACCAGAGTTGGGGCACAGAATTTATGAAAATATTGCATCCATTATTTCACTCTAGTTAACAATCTTTTAGGAAGAATGAAACATTAGGTTAGGGGTGTGTCCTATATCTAATAGTGCATATATAGAATATTAGACAGAAAAGCTAGGTTGGTTTATTTTCAATATTATGCATGATTTGTTGCAAACAAAATTTAACTGTCATAATATACCATTGATACTGGAACAATCTTCAATACCCTCTAAATATTTTCATTTTACAAAACAAATATTTTAACTCAATTGTGCTACAAAAATTAAAACTTCTCACACAGATAAATATCACTTAGAAACAGACTTACAGTTAACAAATCAATCAAATCTTTATACATATTATCTTTTGCAATGTCCAAAGGCGTTTTGTCAAACTTGCTACAAGCGGTGACTGATGCATTACTTTTTAGTAAAGCTTTTACAACAAGATAATGTCCTCTTTCTACAGCCCAATGCATTGGAGTCATTTTAAGCTGGAAAAATAAGAAAAAAGTAAGCACAATTTGTCAAAATTCATTTGAAACTTTTCAAATCGTAAGTAAAAATAAGGACACAAGCTTATAGACAGGGTTGGGTAAATACCCGATGGGTAGGGTATTTATAATAATTTGTTCTTTTCAAAGCATATAAACACATGATTTGTCTTGCTTATAGTTCAGAGAATATAACTAACTTTAATTTTCAAAAATAAACTTAACACTTACATGTTCCAGAAGAAACATTTCAAAAAAGTATAAATACTTAGAAAAGGAGCTACATTGTTGCATTAAAAAAATAACGTAAAATGGCTTGCACAGTGTGTAATGTAATAAATTAGGCATTTTTCGAGAAGATATAAATTTTCTAATACAATGGGATAAACTAGATTAAATAGAAAAAATCCGAAATAAGCACAGAGAATAAGTTTATTCATAAATTTAATTTCATGAAATTAAATTAGTTTAAAATTCAAAAATATAGTTTCATTAAATTAAATTAGCTTAAAATTCATGAAATTTGTTGAACAAGCAAGTGTCATATTATTTAAAAAATAAAAATGACATTGACCAATATTTTTAATAAGAATTCCATTTAATTTGTCACATCACAAGAATGGGAAGAATTTCCTTTGTGAATTGCTAAAATATAGTGACAGTGATTTATCAGAGTTGGGACACAGAATTTATGAAGATATTGTCTTCCTTACTTCACTCTAGTTGGGAAGAAAGAAACTTTAGGTTGGATGTGTTTTCTATATCTAACAACACATATATTAAAAGAATGTTGAATGTTTGAAGAAATTTTAAAGTTGTTTTTTCTTTTTTTTTTTATAACGAGTTTTCAAATTTAATATGAATTATAAACTAAAACAATAAATAAAAACATAATTCTACCATGTCTTTAGCATCAACTTCAGCTCCATGACCAATCAACAATTCCACAATTGCTAGATGGCCCTCTTGAGCAGCTATATGTAAAGGAGTTTTATCTACTTTTGTCCTGGCATCTCGACTAATGCCACCTCTTAAAAGTACTTCTGCAGTAGCTATGTGACCATATTGAGCTGCCATATGCAGAGGTGAGGTGCCAAGCTGAAAAAGAATTTTATTTTATAAGAATGATATAAATATGTCTAATGTTTCTCAACATAATAATAAGCGAGAAGCATTAAATTATAGTGATCTAGTTTTATTTTTTTAAAAAAGAAGCACAATTAATAATTTTCTTTTGATGTAAAATTTTTACTTTAGCAAAGACAAAAAAAAAATTCTTTAACAAGAGAATACTAATTATCGTGTTAAAACTTATTTGTCTGAAAATGTACAAAATTTTTACAAATTCTTATCCAACAATTTTAATTTTGTTTCTTCAAAAACATTTAGCCTTTGCACCATAAGTTAAAAGGAAAGAGCAAAATCGCAACTTTAAAATATGGATTGCAGATTGCTCAACTGATGAAAACAATAGACAATGATGTCAGCATCATTTAAGATTTTGGAGTCTATTTTATTGATATTTTTAAAAGATACAGTCAATTCGCTATAACTCGAAGTACGATAACTCGAATATTACTATAACTCGATTTTTTTATGAGGTCCCGACCCTTTTATCTTCAATTCCATGTTAATTATTCTCGATTACTCGAATTTTACTCCCTTTAACTCGATTTTTTTTGGATCTTTGAAAGCAAGAAAAAAAACCTAGGAGCTGATATCTTGCCCCTTCCTTTGCAACACACACACTATGTCTTTCGCACTCTTCATGGAGAAGATAAAGCTGTCCCTCTTGAAGTATGTGAACAGTGGTTAAGTGAAACGTTACCAAATTTACTTCAAGGATACAGTTAAAATGATGTTTTCAATATTGATGAAATGGGTTTATTTTTTAAATGTCTTCCAAATAAGACTATGATGTTTAAGGATGAAAACTGCTCAGGGGGTAAAATGAGCAAGGAACGTTTGATTGTCCTAGTTGGAGGAAATGCGTCTGGGACAGAGAAATTGCCCTTACTTGTTATCGGAAAAAAAGCGAAATCCCCGATGTTTCAAGAATGTAAAAACGCATCCTTTGGATTACAAGTCTAACAAAAAGTTTTGGATGACATCAGTTTTATTTGAAAACTATGTAAGAAAATTGGATCGGAAATTATTCGCTAAAATAAGAAAAGTGATACTCTTTATGGATAAATGCACAGTACATAGTGATCAACCTAATTTGAAAGCAGTAAACTTGCAGTTTCTCCCGCCAAACACAACAGCAAAGTTGCAGCCGATGGACCAGGGTATAAAGTGCTTCAAACAGACTTAGACTTATAGTAAATGGCTTGTCAGAAAAATGATTAATAAGCATTAATTAAATAATCTGACAATATTTTGAAAGTCCAAAACCGAAACTAACGGTAAGTCGAACTTCCGATATGTCGAAGTTTTTCGTCAGTCCTATCAGATTCGAGTTATCGCGAATTCACTGTATTATTTTTTTATATGTGTTTTCTTTCCTTTTTGTAAGAGATGCAAATAGTTGATAAAAGCTGGAAATAGCTTTAAAAGAAAAAAAAAATTTTTTTCAGTTCTGCTGTTTGATCAGTACAGAATTGCTTTTAAAATAATGTTTGAAGGAAACACTATTTGTGATAAACCACTTTTTTTATAGCATTAAAAATTCTCAAAAATTCATTCTTTTGCTTCATATTAATAAGAGTTTAGTGGATATATTTGAAGTTGAATAATAGTTGACCAATGTTTTTTCTTCAATTATTTGTCTCCCATACATCGTTAATGGTTCAATCTTGTTTTATTTTTAATTGGGAATAAAGTAAGTACTTCTTGATAAGACAAAATGAAATCCATTCAAAAATTAAGATGAAATAAAAATAAGAATACTTTAAGATTAAGAAGTGTATTTCTATTATTATGTATACTATTGTGTGCAAATACTTAATCTAATAATGATTAAATATACTAATCAATTCTACAATAATAAAATCATTATGTGTTGTGAAAGAACATACCCAATCTGTCGTGAAAGGGGCGCCATTTGTCATAAGGAGACGAACTTCATCTGTTTCACCAAGCTTGGCTGCCTCTAGAAGACGTTTTCCTAAGTCCACAAGGGACATGTCCAAAACAAATTACAAACCTCTGAAATATATATATATATGTTACTTTTATATAGCTGTAAAGACAATTTTTTATTTATCTTAAATATTTCTAATAGATAACTACTATGTTTGTTTCCCTTTACCCAATACCAGTAATATAGCTAAGCTTTAATTAATTTTCAACTCATTTATATAAAAAAAAACAATTTGGTCTCCGCCAATTTTTTTGGCCTAAAATTTGGAATTGGACCAAATCACTATTCATTACATCCCTATTTGACACATACTAAATTTTATTGTTTAGAATGTAATAAAACAATTTTGATTTATAGATTGCTGAAAAAGCTAATTTAAATCAATTTAATTTAGTGATATGAACACAATAATTTTTAAAGAATAATTGTCAAAAAACTTAACAAAATAATTAATATTTATTTGATACCTATAATACAAACAATCTAACGTAGAGACCAACAATTAATTTTAAAATACAAGTAACTCTGAAATAGGAACCAAATCATGAGCTTGTAATATTTAATTAGCAATTTCATATTGCAAATGGAAAGTATTAAGTTATGTACAGTATTTGGACAAATAAAAAGCTTAATTATATGCATTAAAAATATTTTCTAAGATAATCCAAGACAGGGGATAAATAATTGAATTTATTTTTAAAATAATTTTAGCATTTCAAATTTTAATAAAGCAATACCTGTCCTATAAAGACATGCATACAATTTTAAAATCTTATTAGTTAATGAAATCAATGTAAATATTTATTATAAGTATATTTCATAATACTATAAACATAAAAAATCATAAAATAATATAATAGAAAAGAATCTTGTACCACAAAACAGAGATCATTAATGATTTGATAACTAAAAAACTGATATATCTAATATGTGTACCAGTGCCAGATTACTTTAAACTTACTTAAACATAACATGCACACAAACATAAACGTATAATCAGGAAATTATGTACTACCTTACATTTAATACATGAATTAACCCAGATAAAATTGATTCATCTTGGTAGGTACTACTTGCATTTCTCTACATTAGTTCTTAATGTTAATATGACAAAATATTACTTTGTATCACGGATAATGATTATCTATCATTCTCAGAGTTCCAAGATATTTATAAATTATTCAACAACTTTTATAATGTAAGAGAGAAAATTAGTAAGCTTGCTTGATTATTATTTTTCATTTTAAGACTTAAATTGGATAACATGGTTTGAAAATGTGATCAGATATCTATCTATAAGAGATTATGAATAGAATACAATTAAAATTAACTCTTTACTAAAATCCTCTTCTGTTTGAAATTATAACTTAAAGTTGAATACCTAAATAGAACCATTTTAAATTTGCTAAAAACTGATCAGTAATATATAAATGTGAATTAATGCAAGATAAATTATAAATTAGAAGCAATTGAATGACAAACATGAATGTGTAGTTTTTTTTTAAAAAAAAAAAGCTTTCTACCTGATGTATCATACATAAATTATTGCATTTTAACTGCAAATAAATTATATTTGATGTATCTCAGTACTGCCCTTTCTTTACAAAAGCTCATTATAAGGCGAAGCTTTACTACGTATCACAGATAAATGATTTTTTTTTCGTTCTCAGCAATTCAGGACATTATTTATAAATTATTCAACAGTTTTTATATTAATGTCATAGAAAGTAAGTGGGCAACTTAGTTTAAGCATTTTCTATTCTATATTAAATTGTGTTCTTTTCAAGCAGTAAAAATAGATAGCAAAGTTTTATAATATGATAAGATATATGGTTATCATTTTACAAAACATAATTTAAATTTTAATTCACACTTCCCTAAGAACCCCTTCTGTGTTAGAAAATTATAATAAAAAAATAAACAGTTCGTTCGGTTTAGGGACTCCCGGATCCGGAAGTATACCTTTTGTTTTCCGGAAGCACGCGACTAGGTATTTCCTTCGAAACCATGGGCGCCATCAAAACGAGTTCCTGGGAATTTAAACTTGAATACCTTTTGAATTTCAAACAATTCACTAATTTAAATTAACTTCACTGTGATGATAACAATACAGTCGTTGTTACGCAATCTTTTCAGAGTACGGTTGTCCAAATGTTTTGAGAATTTTACTAGAGGAGTGATCGTTGAATTTAAAAGGAATATGCTTAACAGAAGAAGAAAAAAAAACAAATCTTAAAAACTTACTGAAAATTTAATTAAAGCCTAGCTAGAGTTTTAAAAAACATTCTACTAATTTTTTAAAGTTCATAACCGTTTCAAAAAGTAGTTTTTTAAGATGTTTTTTACGAATTTCATTTCTCTTAGATTCAAGCAAATTTTGAATTCCCTGTAACCGTCTGGGGAAAAATATTAGCTGTCTAAAAATTGAAGTGAAATGAAGACTACTTTAGTCGTTTGTTTTTGTTGTTGTTTTGATAAATGAAAGCAAATCAGCAAAAATCGAGAACTATTTAATTTTTTTTTAATTATTTAAAAATGATTAGTATTTTATTGAGCCTTAATTTTATGGACAAAAATTAAGGACATTTTATTGTCATTTAATACTTACTGAATGATTTAAGATTAAAGATATTTTTAATTTGATGAATATTTATATTTTGTATTCATAACTTTTTCATCATGAATATTAGCGTATTCCTTTTAAGTAAGCTTAAACTATGCATTAAATTTTTAATGCTTTATATGCTAGACCATTTATAATAATTATAATTTATCCTATGAAACTATAATTAGTATCTGTATGGCAAAAAGTTCGTCAGAAAATAATGAAATTGCTCGAAAATCATTGTATTTTAAAGCTTTCTCCATTTCTTTAATTTCTGCTTTTTCAAGATTCCTACAAGCTATTTATACATTTTTTAAAGAAAATAAAGTTATTAGTTATAATCATATAAGTAACAAAATTAAACATTAATTTAAATATTTTATGATTCACACATAGTTTATTAGAGTGCTGTCACAAAAGGAAAAAGCAAAATCGTTGTAATACATTTTTAGTTTTTAAATCAGGAAGTTAATTAATAATTACTAATCTATATTTATGAATTTCAAAAGATATTGATGCACTAAAATGATATTTATATCTTATTGTTAATTCATAAGAATATTGACATCCAAATATTTCTCTTATACATTTTTTTCTAAACGTATAAATAGCTCAAAAAATATGTGTAAATAAGGAAACATTTGACTCACAATCAGTGATACAGTTGTAGATAAATTTTTAAAAAGTAATTTATTATTTATTGAAAAATTGTAAGCCAAAAAAAAAGTACCTAGAAATATTTTTTAAGTCTGATTCTGTTGATAAGAGTCTATTTTTAAATATTAGTACCTCATCATCACACCAACATCAATTGCCAAGCTTAAACTTGCAACAACAAACAAATTTATTTTTTAAAATAGTGATTTGCCCGAAGGTGGGTTACAAGTTACATTCATTTAGTTGCCCCTTATCTGTGATTTTTTTAATTTTATTTTCTGGTATGGCTATTGCCAGTGATTATTCTATTGTATATACCAATACAGAAATTTTCCACTATAGTCTGTTCAACGAGAACTGATAGTGAAAGTAAACAAAGCAGCGTGCTATTTGGCGCAATACCGTTGTCTGCTTGGCGCCGGAATAATACACATATAGCGCCTATCAGTCTAGCAAAAACTCTTATTAAATATCCCTTTTCAAATTCAATTTTGTAAACTCTTTTAATATAAATTTGTTTAAAATCCAAAATAAATATTTGTTTTGATTAGAAAATAATCCTAACTTAGTATGAATTCGAATAAAAAATTTAACTAATTAGCATTAACTACTTGCCTTTAATAATGTTTTTACCATAAACTTTGCGCAAACATAACTTTCTTAAGTCCAAAGATATAAATGATAAAAATTAATAAAAATAAAATTAGTAATAAGTTTACTAAAATACAGAAATATTTAAATACCTATTTATTAAATTTTAGGCATATTTTAAACCAATTAAATTGTGTCAAAATCTTACTTAAAAGTTTTTGTTGCTTCTGAATTATTAAAAATTACAACTAAATCAAGTATGTATTTTAACTTTTAGGAATATACATAGTGTACGTTATTTCCATTATCAATATATATGTTTAGAATTTTTACCTAATTATAAGAAATTAATATATAATCAAAAAAAAAGACATAAACGTTATAAAAAATTTATATCCCAACCAGGAAAACAAGATTGAAGACATCAAACTCTTTCAATTTTACAACAATACAAAGTAACTGCAGTTTTTCTGCTGATTCATCAGAAAGTATGCTTTTGAAACAATGACTGCATAATTACTTCAAATTTACTGCAGAATAACCACAGATTTAAAGTTTCAGTTTTTTCTAAATTTATGATTTTAAAGTGACCTCACTTAAACTGCAATCATTTTGTAGAAAATAGGTAAAAGTGTTTTCGAAATAAATTACTGAGAAATTACTTCATATTAGCTGCGAAATAACTGTAGTGTTTTTACAGTTAAGATTGCACTACAGAAAATCTGCAGTTAACTCTAGAAAAACTACAAAATTACTTCAGTTCTGTAGAAAAACTGCGGTTTATTTTTAGCTGGGAAGAAAACAAAACTTTCCAGTTATCGGAAGTAGAAGGATTGTGCATAAGAAGTTTAAATGAAATTGGAATTGAAAAGTGGAAAAATTGCATTGAGCATACTCAGAAAATCGAAAAAGAGATGTGGGATTTGGACGAAGCCATCGAAAACACTGTTAATTCTCTAGTAATAATGTTAATTCTCTAGTAACAAATATCAATTCCAACGACGAGAATTCTACAAGTTCTGAGAGTGAATCCTGAGATTAGTTTCACTTTTACTTCTTAATGATATAATTATTCGTTATTATTCATTGTTAATACAGTAATTCTTAAAATTTTGTTCTTGTCTGCGTAGTTTAATATCATTATTTTTGTTTTCGGTACAGTTGTTAATTAATTGCAGAAATTCAAATGTTACGTAAAATTAAATAATTTTGATACTTCATTCTATTTTCAAAAACCTATTGAATTCGAGGTTTACAAACTGCTTCTTTAACAGTTCCTTCAAATGTATTTTTAAATCAATCGGTGAAACATAAAACTATTTTAAACATTATTTAACTTTTAATAAAGTTAAAAAAAAAATTTAATTATGAAAATAAAGAGTATTTTTTTAACATATTCTTTCAATTCTATACGACTTTTACGATGGAATTATAAAAGTTATGTTTTGCATAGATATTTATGCAAAATATATTAGGACTAATTTGATTTAAACTTAAAAAAAATACATTAAAACTATTCTCAAAATAAAATTATGTGTTAGCTGAAACAATTAGAAACGTATTTTCATGTAAATATTTTAATTTTGCACTTTCTTACCTAAATTTAAGGTATCAAAAACCGAATATCGTTTTCGTTTTTCTATAAAACCAAAAGCTCTGTCGGTTCAAACAAAATCGCCCATTCACAGAAGAAACCGTTGAAGTGGCAAACGTTGCCGATCAAACAGCAACCCTTATGTTTACTTCCACCATCAGTTCTCGTTGAAAAGACTATAGTAACATTGCAAAATCTCTCATTAAGTTTCACTTATAAAATTTGTATTACTGATGTTCATGGTAAGCAACAGGAAAATAATCGATTTATGTTCTAAATTAATTTGTGAAGTGTCTGTTTTTAAGTAAATAAAATAATTTTTGAACAGTCCATTAAATTACCCAAATTTCTTTGATATAGACCCCTGATCTTTATGTTGAAATTTCAGACATTTAAATTTTTTTCCCTTTTGCAATGTTAGTGTTTTTCAAACTAAATTTTCAGATTAAATATTTTAAAATTGTTTTATAATATTTTTTTTTATAATTTATGCATATGATTTTAGCTTTACTGGTCATTTCAAGTATTGAAGCTGATCAGCGCCTGTACTGTGTATCCTGGGCTGGAATGATACGTGAATTAGTTCATGGCCCTCAGCAAGTTAACTGTACTGTAAATACTAATTGTACTGGAATATCATGTTCAATTCATGAATTTGTAAGTTTTTATTACTAATTTGGAACTGTATAAGTACTAAGACAAAACTATATTCATTGTTATGCAATAATGTTTGATTTTGTATTTTTATTTCTATCAAAAATTTACATTCTGCACATAGAATTTTTTTCCCATATGTTCTATGAGCATTTTTCCAATTGTTACCACCGAAAAATTTTATAAATAAATTGGCTTTTGGTGATTTCAATATAAGGTTAAAATATATAGCCTGATTCAGCTTGACTTTGGAAACTACAGATCCTTACAACCCGAATTTCCGAATTTCTGGGGTGCTTTTACTAAATGTTGGTCCCTTTTAAAAAATTTCTATCTCTGTATCAACCTATGTGCATTCATAATTATTCTATTGTTCGACAAAAAAATCTAATACAGGAAAAGTGTTATATCTGGATAATCAAGGATTTAGTTAAAGATAGATCAAACACATGCATTAAAGAAAAGCAGCAATGTTGTATGATACTTAGAATTATTTTAATTTTCTCCATCAGCTTCTAATGAAGAAAATGAGTATATACAAGGATTGGATAAAACAACAAAAACGATTCTATACTATCACATTTTTTTACACTTTTCAAGAAATACATAGAAAATTATTTTAAAACTTTTTAAGTGTTTAAGTCATGCTATTTCTCATGACTTTTAGAGAGGTTTGAGGGACTGTCAATAAATTACCAACGTAACAATAATTTTTTTCAATGCCTTATGCATAACAATATAGTGATAAGCCTGTAACTTATGTCAATTACTTTGATTTTTATATGCATTAACTTCATAAACTTTTATAAACCTAACTTAAATATTTATAAAGATGTGAACATATTTATAAAACTTTTTATTTTTTTTACTTACCTTTTTATTGTAACTGCTGAAATATTGAATTAAATAAGAATTTAGAGTAATTTTTAATTAATAATAAAAATATCTCTCTAAACTTTGAAAAAATTCATTAAAAATTACTGGAGATATGAGCATTTATAGTAATTCTTCCATACACTGCGCATGCTCAGAAAACATTTTAAGAATTTTTTTTTTCATAATTCTGTTTAGTATCATATTTGGTAACCTATGAAGAAAGTCTGATATGAATATTTTGAAAAATTTCCAGCAAATTTCTAAGTAACTTTTGTACTTTTTTATTGAAAGCTCTAAATTTTAAGGAGATTTTTTCACGATTTTGTAATATAAAACAAATTATAATAACAAATGATAATTCCCTAAAATGTTGGTCAGGATAAGAAGATGTAATATTATGGTAATTGGAAATGAAAAATTTGAAATAAACCATAATTTAATAGGGTCTAGTCCTGTATAATGTTGTTATTTTTAATAAGTCTTGTTTAATAATACAAAATTAAATTTGTGAAAATCTCTTACCAAAGCTTTCCTTCCAAACTAACAGAAACTTAACTAACAGAACCAAACTAACAGAATTGCTAGAAACTTTTGAAATTTTCAAGATATTCGATTCTGACTTCTTTTAGAAGTTACCAAATACGATTCAAAACAAATTTATGAATGAGAAAACAATAATTAAATGTCTTCTGTGCGAGCGCAGTATAAAAAGATTATGTAAAATACTCATAACTTGTGCAACTTGTTTTAAAATTATATTTTTATTATTAATTAAAAATTACTCTAAGAAGGTAATTTAATTTTATTGAAAATTAGCTTCTAAAGGTTTAAAATTATTCCCTAAGTATTTCTTGAGAAATATGAAAAAAATGAGTTAGTATGTCCATAATTTTGCCCAATTCTGTATTTATATATGCTCTTACATCTACATATATTTAAAGTTTGGTTTTAGTGCTTTTCACACTAAAAAATTACACGTTCTCTTGGATATGTTATGCTTATTTTCATGTCACATATAAGATTTTTTTTATGTATTTCACATGCTACAGCATGTATGCAGAATCACAATTAAAAGATTGCCTTACTTCTATAGACACCAGTACTGTTTAGTTAATTATTATTATAGGTACTACTGATGTTGTGTTAACAGATAATAGGTACTGTGATAACAGATATCTTACTATACTAATATCGATGTGATGTTTTCATGTTTTTTACAACCCTGTAATGAATAAATATCAAATATAAGAATTAGGAATTCATGCAGAGCCAATATTTGGCAACTTTATTCAAATGAAATTTTAATCTCCTAAAAGTGAACTCTTTACTTTTATCTTAGAAATATGTTTCAGAATTAATATGCTTGACAATTTGACTTCACTATTAATTGTTTCTCAAGTTAGAAAGAATGAGCTCAAATTATTCTTAAAGTTAAACATTTTACTCTATTTTAGTACAAATGTACAGTGTATAAACAATTTGTAAAACGAAGATCATACAAGACATGATAAATTGTTTATAAATGAATAAAACTTCTTTTTGTAACACATGGGATGAGAATTGAGCAATATTACATTTCAAGCACCATAGTCTCTCATTTCTGTTTTATTAAACTAAGAATGTGGTAGCATTTTCAATTTTAACAGACAGAGAGAGAAAGTTGGTGTGTTTCTTTAATCTGGAGATAATGTGTAGATTATTTTGTGTTGTCACTGCTCCATAAGGATAATAATTTATTTTAAATTGTTTAATGTTTGCTGGAATTTTAGTTTAAAAAAAAAACATGGAATCTTCAAGATATGAAGTTTAACTCTGAAGGATGTCATAATATTGTTTTTATATGTATATAGAAGCAACATAACTTAGTTATTTTGTTTCTGTGTTATTATCTTTTAAAGTTCATTGAATAACCCCTACTCAACCTTTATATCTTATGCTTACAAGTCTTTTGATTTTTGCTGAAATGCTGGCATGGTTATTATTTACAATTATGTTTATGCATAAATCAAAAATAGATTCCTACGAAATTCCAAGTATATTTATATTCTTCATTTTTATTTTTAAGGAACTGATTTATGCTCTAAGTTTCAAAATCATGTAAATCAGTTTGTTTAGTGTTTGTAAAAATATGATATTATTTTTGGGGAAATCATAGAACCTGTATATTTATCTTTGTAATATGAAGTTTGCTATAGAATGTTCAAAACACAGCACTCACTGCATAGTTGTATAATATGCAATTGCATTTTTATGTTTTAAATTGTGTATGATATTTTCAGGGTTATGACATTACTGGAGGATTATCTGTTAATGCCTGTGAAACTCCTACAAGTGTAACTTTAAATATTGATGTTCCTAAGTTAAATATCAGAAATTGGCAGAAGAAATTTTATCATGGAGATAAATTTTCATTAACGGGTATAATCAAGTTTTCATTCTAATTTTATTATACAATAGACGTACCTATTTAGATATATAATGTTTGTTATGATCATGATGCATTTTATTTATTAAAATATGTTCAGTTTGATGATATAAAAGAAATTAATTACTTTTTTTTTCCTTTTAAAATTCTATTGGTTATTACTACACTGGTTATTATCTATTATTTTACTAATTATTATATTGATACATTATTATATTATTAAACTATATTTCTGTTAGATCAATGTTGATATGTTTAATTTTTTAATCATCTAAAGTAAGGACTGGGCTTCATGCTAGGTATGGAAACACTGTTAACGAAAAATATTTTTCTCCCTTTCAAATAATGTATATATGAAAACAGAACATCTTGGTAATTTGAACTTGTGCGTAGGTTTTTAATTGTCCCATTTGAATCTAGTTATAATTAATTTTATCTAGTGAAAGTCTGTTACCAATGGAAAGCTTTGTTACCATGTTTGGCCGCAATTTTGAGTGAATTTTATATTTTCTCTTCCTAGTTTATGCCAATGTAAAAAAAATGTGGATCATTTTTTTTATTAAATTATTTAATACTAAGAAATTTGAATTTTAAATACAGTGAAACTGATTGTGTGAGTGATTCTTGCAAAAGTACTAATCAATTTTTCAATTAAAAAATTTTTCATTTCTGTACTGTTCAGATTGTGCTATGCTTTCAAAATGTTTGGAAAACTCAGATATTTTAGTTTGCTTACATTGATTAGCAAATGGCGTCAAATATAACATTGAATCTTGATATCAAACAAAAATTTTTCAATAGACTTTGAGTAGCTAAAGTCAAATATGTCTAATTTATTTGTTTTTAATTATTATTTTGTGGATATATGAATGTTTCTTATATTGTTCACAAAGGTCTTTTTTGTTGTCTATGTTGTTAATGCTCTTAATAGAAAGACTTATACCCACTCTGAAGGGAAACACATATTTTTTTTGTACAATTTCCATCTGTTCTCTGATTTAATTCAAGGAACTGTTAATGATTAAGTATGTATTACTGTTTGACCAATGATAACTTCTGCCAGTAAAGAATTGAAAATTGAGGATTTTCTTAAAGTTGCTACAAGTCTAATGCAACCTTTAGGTGTGTATGAATGCAATATACTTATTGTAAAATATACTCACTCACTATGAAACAGACTAACATATTATGCATACTATCTAAACTAACTAATGAAATATACTCAGTCTTTAACTGTGAAATGTACTCGCTGTGACACATTACTCATACATCAGGCAATTGATATTTTCCATTATAATCAAATTTTTCATTGGCTGTATTAAAAAAAATATATATATATTGAAAATATTTTTAAAAAATTCAAAAAACCCTCACAAAATAATTACAGCAATCAAAAAAAATTAATCATCAATTTTGAACTGGTGATCTCTTGAACAAAAGATACAAATTCTTTTCTATGTTGCCATCATGATGGCCATGATCTTTAACTATTTTTTCTTATGCAACTCAAATTCACTTATGAATTAACTTAGAACTTTTCAGGTGGTTTCAAAACAAAAAAATTATGTTTAAATTCTGTGCTTCAATACCCTTAAATGATAATTTATTTATTTTGGTATTAAGATTTTATGTTACACTTAAAGCCATTTCTTTATGAAATACTTGTATAAAAGTTCAATATCATAAAAGCATTTTGACAGTATAAACAAAACCCAATGTTGTATAACAAATTAATTCTTATTTTGGCTTTAGTTAAGTGCAAGAGATAATATCCCTTAAGAGTCTAATGCATATAAGTTTATATCTCTCTTCACTCTATGCTACAACCCTGCTTATTTTAAAATGTTCTGTTTAATTGATTTCCAGAAACTTTGGATGGTGTAATTGATGTTCTCAAACAAAAAGACAAATATATTTTAAGCCTTGCTTTGGATATTCCATCTGGATTGAAGTCAGACTCACCTTTGCTTCATTACTTAATACCATCTATGGCATCAAGCACTCGATACCAAGTATTTAAAAATGTTTCAGTTTTTGTTCCTGACTGCAAATTACTTAATAATTCTGGGAACTCAACTGAACCATCTGCTGTGACATCCAATGTTTTACCATTGCTCTCATCTAAGTGTAAGTTTTTCCATACATTCTCAAGTTCATAAGTATTTTAATTTACATCTCGCAGCATGTTTGAAATTGGCATAAACGTCCATCATTTTAATAATTCATTATCTTCTAAGTCAAATTCCTTTGGTTTCCAATTCAGCCAATTATTTTAATGCGTTGCTGGATATATTTTTTATTACTGTTTTATTTTTTAGGCTTAAGTAGACATTTGAAATTTATATTTTTTTGAATTTTAAATTATGAATTTTCAAAAATATAGAATTCTAGTTTACTGAAAATAATAAAAATAAGAATTTTGTGTTTAAGTATGTAAGGTGTTTAATGGCTGTGATACACTATTTATTCATTTTTTAAGAATATTTCTTTTAATTATGCAAGTGTTACGTACTTCTAAGCTCATAAAAGTTGATTTATTCTTAAAATTGAAAGTTATTCAGAACTACTATTTTTTCTCTACTTTTTTTGTGAAATCAACTTATTTTCACCTCCTACTTAAGACATTCAGAAATAAAATTTTACCTTTTCGGTACTTGTAGCTCGAGAAAATATTGATGAAATCACATGGTTATGTCTAATCATGTGGTTATGAATGGCATGTCATTGTTATAACTATTAGAATCGGTTTATTACCATGCTGAATAATTTTTTTTCATCAGATTTAATTGTGTACCTGTAAAGGACATCATGTGTGTGTGTTGAACTTGATGGGTTGCTGAATTGTGGCATAAACAAATGTCATGATTTACTCACGCGTGATGTCCCTTGCAGACGCTCAGTTATATGTATCAAATATAACATCTGATACCAGATGATCTATTTTTTAAACATATTTTGTATTGTGTTAAATCTTTTTCTTTTTTAAAATTCCTTTTTATTTCTTTTAATTTTCCTTTTTTGGATAATAATTTTTCTGACATTCTTAAATTTTAAAATTCGAACTATAAAATGGGCAATAAGTGTCATTGTATAAATCACAATAATGCTTCTTTTTCTTTTTTTTTTTCTCTACTGTAACCTCGCTATAAGCAATTTATTAATGCCAAATGTAGTTTTTATTAATATATTGTTTTTTTTGTAATATATAATTTTTTTTAAAAAATCAAGCCACATTAAATATTTTGATGATGACTCCTCTAAAAGTAGAGTATTCTGATGGTTAGATATGCTTGTTAATTACAGTCCCTGGCTAAATCATTAGATACATTGTAGTTTTTTAATAATGACATGTTTTGCATGAGTTTATATGCAATACTTTTATATTTAAACATGCATGCAATGCGTTTTTATTTGGAAGATTTTTTATATGCGTCCTATTTGCATTTATTTTTAGGGTATTGCATTACAATGTTAGCCAATTTATACACGAACATAAACAAGCGCAAACTAGTTTCAGTCGCATTCTCGTGCACGTCAGTTGGGGTTGCATTTTTGTGGCTTTATGCGGTGTGTTTATTTGTTTCGCAGTTTTGTACTACAGAGTTATTAGTTTATTTGGTATGCAGTGTATAAATAATCAATTGGAACATTTTCATCATGGGTAAAAATGGCGATCTTTCACCATTTGTAAAAGCTGAAGTAAAGGCCTTTGTGAATGCTTAAATATTTTTAAACCAGTAAATACCACGAATATTGAACATATTTCTGAAGCTAGCATACGATCCGTGAAGAAGAAAGTTGAATCAGGGGAGAAATTAAGCCCGAAACAAAAGAAAAGGTGCAGTAGAATCTTATAGTGCATCTTATAATTTGGCCAGCGACTATAAATAATTATATTATACTTATCAAGTAGTTACAGCTATATATTTCATTCATATATTCAGATGTAAAATTTTCTTTAGTCTATTGACAAAAAATTTTACCAAACTGTCTAAAGAAAAATTTAAAAACTTTTTGTATTTATCATCCTCGGAAATGTTTTCTTTGACTCAAATAAATCATGTTAACATTAATATAGTGTGGAAACAAGTATATTTATGACTCTTATATTCCGTGGTTGCAAATTTGTATTTTTTCTTTTCAATTTTGTATCTCTGATTTTTTTCTTGGAAGATTAATTTAATGAACTGAGCTATATTTTCTTCTGAAATAAGAATGAATGTATAAAAAGTGAAAATTTGTTCAATTTTATTTTTAATACTTTTGTTTTGTGTAATAATTAAAAAAATGTATGCAATATTCTGTAAAACTTGTTCCTAATTTTAATATAATGATATAATTATAATTGACATCCATCAATTTACAACTTTAGTGAATCTTTCTTTTGATTTTATTAAATCTTTCCTTCTAGATAAAACGCATAGTAACTGTACAATTTTGAATAGCTCTTGCCCTGTGAATGAAATGTGTCTTCAAATTAGTAAGTCTGGTCCTGAAGGATTCTGTGTTTGCCTCACAGATTTTACTCGTGATATCAATGGAACTTGTATTATGAATCCTACCGTAAGCACAACTGTAGGTTAGTATTAAAATTTATTCATAATTTCATTAAATGCGATATCAAAATTATACTATATTTTTATTTTGAGTTAATAAATGCCAGAAAAAATGTTTAAACTCATTCTCTTCCAGCTTTTTTTACTATTATATCTATAGAAATGGAATTTATTCCCATTTCAAATATCCTGGTGTGTATGAATTTTGAGAGATCATAATCAAAGCTTAGAAGTTGCAGCATTTTTATCTGTATACAGTTTAAATGGAAGAAAGAAAACTTTACATAGGATTGAGAAAATGGCAGATGATTAAATGATTATTAGATGAAAAACGGATTATTTTGAAAAGTATAAAGATATTATTTTGCAGATCATGCTATTTTGAAAAATATAAAGATTGTGTATTGACGATAAAATGAGTCAAATTATCTTTACTCTAAATAAATTAAATTGATTCCACAACAACAAAGATTTAAATACTCTTTCAAACTCATTTTAAAAACTATTTTCAGTCATTCTATTACCAAATTTTTCTTCCTCCAAAATTATTAATAAAAGGCTGGAGTTCCAGATATTAAACTTAAATCATAACTTAATCTTGGTTAATAATCTTTATAAGTACAAAAAAAAGAAGAATGTTTATAAAATCTGAACAATTTTAAAATAACTGTGATTCAAAAAAGGAACTCAAGAAAACTGTATATTTTTCTGAAAAACAAATAGCAATTTCTTTCTTTTTTTGTTCTTTTTTAAAAAAGAAAAGAAAACTTAGATTTCGATCTTTTAATATATGCTAGCTGTTTTGAGACATAAAATTTTCCCTGTCAAGTATTCAGGGTGGAATAATCATTTCCATGAAGATTTTTTTTTTAATGTATTGTTTTAGTTTGATTTACATTTTATATTTCATTTATTTTAAATGTTTCAGAAACACCAGCAGAACATCTACACCCTAACAAAAAAACATCTACAAGTAAGTATAGCTACTTTTCAATATCGATTTAATAAAGTGATCTCTCATTATTGCGAACTCTTACGAAAATCTTTTATGTACACTAACTGAAATCTATCTTAAACAATACTGATTTTAGTTGAGTAAAAAATAAATTTTCCTTTGTATAAAAAATAAATAATTTTCACCCTTCCTAAAGAAGTAAATTTAAGTGAAGTAGGTGTCTACTTATTTAATTCAGCTTATTTAGTACTAATGAAACTTTTTAATACCTAGTTTAATGCTATCATTTTAAATAATCTCTGCATTATATAATTCAGGGTGGCCACCCACCTAGAAAACCTGGAATTATCAGGGAATTTTTTTATACTGGAAAAATCAGGAAAATTTGGATAAAAACCTGGAAAAATCAGGGAATTTTAAAGAAAGGCTGGAAATTTTTTCTTTGATAATTTTTTTAATTTCACTAATTTAAATTATTTTCTAATTTTCTTAATTGAAATTATTTCATCCATTATACCCACGTTTTTTAGACGGAAATCTATCTCCAAACAGTTGAAATATCATCAACTTAGCAATACTTTGCTTGCATCAAAATTTGCTCCATTACAGCTCTGTTGAACTAGAATGTACATATAAAATTCTTCCATGGTTGCTGAACGAATGTAGAAACCTTTGACCGCTATGGGACTGTGCAATTTAGGAAAGATTGTGGTGGAGGTGGATGAAGGGTTTAGGATATTAGCTTCTGTTTTTAAATTCTGCCTTTAGGCTGAATCCATTTATGGCTCAAGTTTGTTCTAATGCTTTCGTGGTAATTTTTTTCCGTGTTGACGAAATGTTTTTGTATTTTTAACTTTATAAAATTCTCCGAAAATTAGTTGGAACATATTTTAATTTGAAAAAAAAAGTCTTTTTTGGTCAATAGGATTTTTGATTCAAAATTTTGTACCAAAACATTAAAAAGTAAATAAATAAATCTTGCCAGATTGTCAAAATAAATTATTTTTTTCAAGATGATACGTTAAAAAAAAAAACCATTTTGAATAAAATATTTTATAATATAGACACTTTTCTTGTACACATCCTACACTTTATAAGAAAAAAGAAGCAAAAACCTGGAAATTTTAAGATTTTTATTTGGAATTAATTATTGTATTAATTATAATCATTGTAATTGGTATTAATTATTTTATTGGAATTAATTAATTATTTCACATCTCACTCATCAGAGTTTATTTTTTTTTTCATAAACATCGGATGTCAATTTGTGTGATTTTGATACAAGTATTTGGTGCGCTTTCAACTTAATTGTTTCATTATTAATTTTTTGTGTGATTAATTTTAATAATTATGCTTTGAATGTGTGATGTATACTCTTCCTTCACCTCGACATTTCACAAGACACTATTTAATACTCTTCCAATAATCAGCAATCAGTTGTAACATAAAATTATTTATTTTAACAATTATGAAGCAAAAAACATTCAAGTTATAACAATTAAAAAAAACTAAACTTAAACAACAGACATCTATCTCTGACTCAACCACTCTCTAACAAACCTCAAACTCTTCTGTTTCTACTTCACCGTTGATCAATGTGACGTCACGTAGCATCATACAATGCATTTTCGTTTTATATAATAAACAATAAATTATAACATAATGATTTTTACACTACAATATTTTTTAATTTATATAATCAATTGCTTCATTGTTCTAGACATAGCTTATTATTTACAATGATCATACATTGTTATTTTTTTAATTGCAGAATCATTGCTCCTCACAGCAATTCTTGTACCAATATCAGTGATTGTTATAGCTGTTGCTCTTGTCTACATCACAATTAGATATCGTGTGTTTCAGCATCTGAGAAGGAGGCTGAGGGTTCAGGTGTATGAGCATGTTCTTTTAGGTCAAGAGGAAGATGATGATGAAGAGTCACTGAACCCTGTGGCTTAAAAATCATTGTTCATAGCTGCTTAGCTAAGAATTTCCAGATTTGTATTTGGATCTTCATTGTTGAAACTGAAAAACTTAAGTTTTGGCTTTAAAATTTTCATGATCTGAATTGTATAGTATTATTTTGTTAAACATAATGCTGAGAGGATTCAAGTTTTAAAATTTATCTAGCTTTGATGTCACTAACTCAAATAGAGACAGTTAAGATTTGGGTGGTCAGAAATCAAATGATTAAAATTTTCATGTTCTGAATGGTATTATATTATTTTATTATACACAATGCTGAAATGATTCTTAAAATTATAAACTTTCAAAATGATTCTAAATTTAAGGAAGACACTAAAATTTGGGCTATCAATAATCAGATTATTTTAAAAAAATTTTGCAAAGTAATGTGTTTTTTTTTTTTTTTTTTAAATTTATATAGCCTGTCTTTACCTCAAAAGTACAAAAACAATAGTATCAAATTTTGTATTATCTTGCTTTAAATGTTATGTAACTTGCTTTAAAATTAAAGTTATTATTGAAATGAAGTAGAGGGATAAGATTTCGTAAGTGACTTACAGGTTTTAACTTTTTTTTTATAGATATATATTTATGGGAAATATATATTTTTCAAAAGTTTTTTTTTTTTTAAGTTGCTTGCACTTATATTGTTCATATTGGAATATAATGAATTTTATAATTTTCATTAAGTAAGTGGCTTATTCTCTTATTGAAGCTGTCTAATTGTAGATTTTCAGTTTCTAAAACTAGCAGCTATGTTCTTTAGATCTTATTACATATTGTGATATATATATAATTACAGTTTTATTCTCAGTTGTTCGCATGTATTATTACTTTTTTTTAGAATGTATAGTTGATTTATTCCAGAATTTTTGTTCTTGTTTTACTTAGCCTATTTTGTAAATACTGAAAATGTCAATCAAATGCTTTTGTATATCAGGAGATAGTAAATTTTATTAGGATATAGAGTTAACTAGTTTTTTAAAGTAAATAAAAATTTGGCCAACTGTTAATTATCCTACACTGGTTGTATTTATATAAAAGCTGTTATTAACATATTTGGTTAATTTTTTTTTTTTGTATACGATTATGATCAATAATTCATTGATACTATGAAGAAAGTGATTTACTAATTGTTTAACAGTTTATTTCTAATATTTCTATCAGTTTAGTAGATCATTAAACATATTCCAAAACATATCATTTTAAATTATAAGCTGATCCTTTTTGTTTTTGTTAAATTAGTGGGTAAATTCCATTTAGTATCTTTCTTCCAGTATAAAAATGTCATTAAATGTTGAATTCATTTTAACTATGTTTATTTTAAACCTAATTTAAACTAGTGTTTTTGACTTATAATTAACCTATAATTGCATTATTAATTTCATTTTAACCATAATGCTGCTAAAATGTAAGGACTTTTAAATTTATAGTAGACATTTTTTTTTTCACATTGAAAGCAAGTATTTTCTGTTGGTATTTTTTAAAACATTTTTTGTTCATAATTATTCCATGCAAAGTTTATTATTTTGAATATAGTAATAAATTATTTAAAATGTATCAACATTTAAATGTTACTTTAATAAAATATTTAAATTTAAAATGTATCAACATTTAAATGTTAAATATATGAAGTTACTTTAAATAATACATTTACATTTTTGGTTTTCAATTGTAAGGTAAATGGTATGACATTTTTAAAATTCAATCTGTATTATTGCATGCACATTTTCTAGTCTAAAGTGTCAGTTCTTACATTCATTTGTTTTACCTGATTTTTGTGAAAGTACTTATTTATCAATTCATCCCAATACAATTGTTCCTACATGTATTAATTTTACTTTTTTCTCCTTGGCTGTGATTTTGCTGAATTTTATTTATTTGTATTTTAACAATATGTTTTACAGTGTTATGTTGTTTTAAATATTAATAAAGAAACCCAGTTTTTTTGATCATATTAAAAAAGTTATGATATGAAATTATGATGTGAAAAAAAATTTGTTTGCATTTTAAAATACATTTTTTTTCTTCTTTCTTCCATAAAAACTAACCTTTTTAATTATTTGTTTTCATAATATTATTTATGTTTGCATTTTTCTTTTCTTTTTTTAAGAAGTATTATATTTTTATTGTGATGATGCATATGAAATGTTCTCTCTGTTTAATTTCTTCTTAATGAAAAATCACCTAATTTTGAGCTAAAAATCTGATTACTGCCTAAACACGTGTGTTGAACTGAACATCACATGTTCTTTGAAGCATATCTAACATAAATTAGTTGTAGGAATGAAAATGAGTGGAGGTATGAAAAAAAACATTAATGTTACTCTTAATCTGCTTTTATATGTTTTTGTTACCTGTTTTGCTGTTATTTTTAATTTAAAAAAATGCTGTTACCTTTTCACAGCTCAAGTAATACTTTAAAAATATTTATAAAACAAGCTTTAATTAACACACTTTTTAAATGAGTAATTTAAGAAATCCTAATTTTTCAAACATAAAAACCAGTTTTCAATTAATTGTACTTGTATATACTTTTAATTTATTCATGGATAAAGCTAGAATGTATGTTCAACTTATTAATGCCCAATATTAACTTGAATAAACAGTATAAAAGCAGTGTTTAAACATTGCAGATGTACTCCAAACACCGTAAAGTAGAGATGTTTTATTTGCCCTAACTCAAACTTTATGAATCTCAAAGTATTTATATTGTCTGTATTTAGATATATGTATTCTGGATTTCATTTTCTTGCAAATATGCAGATATAAGCATTTAAAAAAAGGGAGCATTTTTAAATATTTCTTTGTTGTGACTTCAGATATATTAGACTGCTTATTCATGTTATGTGATTTGAGTTTTTCATACTTGTTTTTTAAACATTTTTATTCAATTAATTACGAATATTTTCTGAAATTCCTGCTTATTTGCTTAAAAAATTTGCATTTTTTTCATTTGAGTATTTTGCTCATTCATTTTATTCAGTCATTTCATTATTTTACTTTTCAATGATTATGATATTCATTTATCAAAGTTACTTGTGTCATTGCATACTAAAATTCAACAAAGGATACTAAATCTTGTTTTTTAATGTAACTGTATCAAAAATTGCTTTAGCCCTTTCTGTGACCGATGACAAAAGAAAAAAGTTCTTCCCCAGGCCCACACGCCCAGAATTTATGCGTACTAAAGATTATGTTTGTGTACTAATACAGGAATATTGAATTGAAAACTCGTCCATGCGATCTTGGACAGCTAGAGTCAGAAAGGCTCGCTTCATGTATATGATACTATGAACCTTAAAGGGAAAATAGCTCAATCACGTCATTGCTGTCCTGAAGGGCTAAACAATTTTATTATTTTTTTACTATTTTTACTTTTAAACAATTTTATTACTATTTAAGTATTTTACTGATTCCTTTGTGAAGCTTAGTTTATTGACATGAAACTGACAGATATTTTATGCCATTTTCAACTCTCACACTTTTTAAATATTTAAATGCACTGTGATGGCAAAATGTGATTGAGATATTGTTCAAGACTCAATTCTCCAATATTCTTTCCCAAAAGCACTCCGTGTGAAAGTATTTGTAAGTATTAAATCGCTTTATATATAATGTGAAGAACGTATATCTTGAGAGACTTATAGATTAATTTATTTTGAAATTGTATAGTATCGTTTGTTTTTATTTTAAGTGGATCTAAATAAAGTTGATATGTTTGAATAATATTTTAGCTTGCGTATTATTTTTACAAATCATTTTGTAGTCAAAACAATTTTATTATTATGATTTTTAGATCCTGATTGCTAGTAGTGTTTGCAGACTTTAAAATACTGAGCCATACAGTCAAGTTCCAATTTTGGGCCAATTAGTTTATATAAGTTCTATATCTACAATACTAATAATAAGCTACATAGAAACATATAAAAAAATTTCACTCTAATACTGGAGCATGTTAAAATGAGGCACTCATTTTTCAGTACAGGTCAAAAGACGACACTTTTAATCAAATTGTTTCAGCACCACGCTATGGTTAAAAGTTTAACTACTAGTTATTGAATTTATTGTTTTCTTTTATTATTTTCACTAGATTCTATGAAGTTCGCAGTAATTATTTAGTTTTATGGTTTATTTTAGTTCTATTAAAAGCTGCCATGCGTTAATGAAGATAAAAGCACTTTTTGTGAAAAAAATTGTGTTTTATTTTAAGTACTTCAATATCTCACCAGTTTTCTTGTTAAATTTATTTCATTGTTGAATAAAATACATATTCATATGAATGATATTCACCAGTAATAATTTTAAACTAGCAGCTTAACAAAGAAAGAAAAAGGAATAGCTTTATTAATGTAATTTTGTTTTATTTGACTTGATTATATGACTTAATTAAAAAGAAGTAAATAAAATGTGACCGTAACACTTTTTTAACAATAATAGAATTGAAATCTTGGATAAAAGATTTGGAATTGATTAGATATTTTTGTGTTCCTATAAATGCTTGTTAAGAAAAAAATTCACAATTAAGAGAAAATACACGCAGTCCTATCCTTATTCAACAATATTTTTCATTGAAATAAAGTGAAAAAATTTAAGAACTTATTAATCACAGAGATATATTATTCAGCTATACTACTAATACAATCGTACATAAGTAAACAAAATATGGCAGGGGGGCTAAATTATAAACCGTAACAAGTCAAATATACATATCTACAGCAGCAACTAATAGTTTCTTCTTGGTGTTATTTGAGAGCACAGAGGTTTGTTGGGCGAGGAAGAACTTTAAGAAAATCGTCAAAATGACGTCAGAGTAAATCGATCTTTAAGGGCTGTCGTTCATGGTAATAGCTTATTAAACACAGTCATGAAAAACTAATTTACTTTAAAAAATATTGTATAGGGGTGGGGGCATTCTAACTAACTTACTCGCAAAACCACTAGTAGGTTAATGCATATTAACTAATTATACGTTTGGTTTTGATTCTTAACTGCTAATTTTACTATTCTCATTCATTTAAAAATTTAGATTGTAATTCCACCTCTCTAAGCCAATTTTTTATTTTTATTTTTTTTTTGTCCAAACTTTTTTGATTATCCAAAATTCCTATTGATGGGCCCGCATTTAATTTTGTTTCTCTAGAGTTTTTTGAGGAAAATGTTAATAAAAATTATCCATATAAGTTTGGACCATGAAACCCAAATTTTTGTAATTGAACCTTTTACCAAGTCAATCTTCTAGGAGGAGCCATCTATTGCAAACTTTAGTTTTTCTTGTTTATTTTGTAAAAAATATTATTTAACTCATTTTTGTTTTTTCAATTTAAAATGGGATTACATTTTCAACATCTCAGGGTAGAGAATAGAATCGGAGACATCGCAAAAACTTTTTTTTTTATGAGCAGATAATTATTATGAATGGCATAGAATAAACAGCATGATAATATAAATTGCTGTAAAGTTACATAATAACCATTCAAACCTTTTATCAAACAAAAGTAATTCTATATTTTTTAAGTACAACTGTTATTCATCAGATTAAAAATGTCAGCAAAATTTTTTTGTAATATCCTTGTGCAAGATTTTACCTTCTATCGAACTGCATGTTCGTCAGGGGTTCATATATTGGCCAATATATTTAACATATTACCACCCTGTATTTTTATAACATTAGTACGTATCTCTTACAGTATTCGTACTTTTGTCTTTTTTTTTTTTTAATATAGCCCTTTACATTATCACTGCTATGAGTCTACTAATTAGATCTTAGATAAGGCTAACCCAATAATGAACTGAATGTGTGGGTAAAAGAAGAAAAAAACTTACCATGGCAACTAATTTTGAATATCTTTAAAAAATGTTTAAATTAATTAGTTTATTTCATTTTTTAAAAAGAAAATTTCTCCAGTAAATACACAGAACTCTAAAAAATTCTAATTTTCTAATAATTGTGAGGTTTGCATAAAAAATTAAGCGTTTTAGAGGCATATATATTTCAAATTTCAGAGCAAATCCATATTTAAAAATCGTTTTTATACTACGACAAATATATTCGAAGATAAAAAGATAACTATTTTAACTTATCCATACTTAAGTTCCGTCTGTTTGCTGTTTATAATCTTCCCATAACAAATAGGGAAGTGCCATTAAAATTTCATTTATAAAAATATTTCTATAGAATTCATTTCGCATACTGAAATTGATGGAAAATTTAATGGATGGTAAAAAAGATGAGATCTCTTCGTAATGGAATAAAAATCTCCGGTCATATGTGAATAATAAATTGACTGCCATTTGTAGAAGACAAGGCAGAGTTATGGCTAGGCGATAAAAGGTTCCATCACTTCGCGTCATGAAGTTAATGCTTTAATGTTTGAATTATTGGTCTTCAATTTCAACTGCCCGATGACTTGATTTATTCGCTCTCGTAAACTATGACATATGATATGTGTGAAAGTAAGGTTGATGTATTGTATTTTACTTCTTTCGAAAATATGTTTTCGGTTATAT